AAAAATTGAGTTAGCAAATTAAATATTTAGTTTAGGAAGTAAATGTTTAGCTTAGAAAGTAAATGTTTTGTTTTGAAATAAAATACTTAATTTACACCTAGATATTTAGTTTGCAAGTTAAATATTTAACTTGCAAGTTAAATATTTAGTTTGTAAATTAATGATTTAGGTTGGACATAAACATTTAGTTTGTAAACTTAATATTTAGTGTGGCGCTAAATATTTAGATTGCTAACTAAATATTCAACTATATTTAGTTTGTAAACTAAATATTTAGCTTGTAAATTAAACATTTAGTATGGAACTATAACATTTGTAAATGTATGAATAACATAATGAAAATATGACTTAGAATATTTTTTTTTCCAAGGTTAAATAAACCAAAATACTGCTGTTAATTTTTGACTGTGTAACTTTACAAACAGCACCCCACAGTTTTCATACATAAGGCACACCAGCTTATAAGCCGCATTAAGCGAAACAAAATAGTCAAATAAGTCAAACTTTATTCAACTCATTCACAACGACCACATAGTTGTTGGGTTTTTTTTTGGTGGGGGGGGGGGGGCTCCTTCCCCCAGAAAAATTGGAATAAAAGAGATGCCATTTCCTGCATTTTGGTGTATTTTAACATGTTGTTAAAACATCTTTGTTTACCTACAGTACATTTGTAAACATTTGATTAAATTGATTAAAATAGGTCTCTCTTGTAAATGAGTCCTCGAGGCTCAATGAGACAAACAACCTGTTGAAATAAAGATTGAATTGAAATTACTATTTTAGAGAGCAAGAAGAAAACCCTTGAATAGATCAGCTCCGATTCTGTCAAACATCCTAACCCACCCCCGGCAACTCAAATCTCCATCCTTAAAAGTCCAAAGTCATCACGCATTTTTATTTTGAATATTTGTTTAAAAGACAATGAGAGGAGACATTGCCCACTCTGTGGAGTGGATGTTCCAGCTGCAGCTCACGCACATGCTCCTGCCCGGCATAGAGGTGGACCGCATGTCCCCCGGGGAGCGTCTTCATCCACCTTCAGCTGTGTGTATATGTCTATGTGCAGGAGTTCTGGCACGTCAGCAGCTGTGCACGCTCTGGAGAGCTGTCTAGAGCTGTCTGGAGACTCGCCTGCGTAAAACATGCACTGTCTGCAGGGCGCACAGCTGAAGGTGGAGGAAGACGCTCCCCGCTGGACATGCGGACCGCGTCTCTGCTGGGCAGGAGCGTGTGCGCGAGCTGGTGCGCGTAGTGCGGCCGGAACATCCACTCCACAGACTGGACAACGTCTCCTCTCATTGTATTTTTAATAAATAATCAAAATTAAAATGTGCGATGACTTTGAACTTTTAGGGGCGGAGATTTGCCGGATCCGACCAAATAGTTGCCGGGACGCAGACGGCCAGAATGAGAGAGTTCCCGGATCTTGTTCCGGCAGGATCCGGCTCAAATTAACCACTGCTTCTCTCCCCCACAAACAGCTTTTCAATGAACGACCCCAAACTTTGGAAAACGCAGAACTAAACAAAAACACACTGATAACAGTCATTTCGTTTTAAACTTTTGAAGGTTGGCTGCTTTTTCATTCATTTTCATTCTAGTACTTATAGGAGGAATGTTTTTTGTTGTTGTTAGCTCGTTAACCTTGATCCACAAAGGATTTACAGTAAGCATAAAAGAGGCCTCTAAGCTCAATAGATGAACCAGTGTTGTGTCTGTACAACCTGGCAAAGAACCAATTACCGTAGGACCAATAGGATTTTAAGGCACTTTGTTATTCCTGTCACAAAACACAATTTGTTCCAGTTATTTATTTTTGGTTGAATCTATGACAAATACCAACAGTAACTCAGTTTGACGGGCGTAAATCAACACCAATAAGGTGTTAAATAGCATTTACAGTAGTCAGCTTAAAGATGATGCATCTCTCAGATCCTGTGTCAGATCTTTTTTTTTTCTGCTACAAAAATATTTTTTATTTACTGGAGATTTTTTAGACCTTACAGTTCATTTGTCCTCTAATTGTCCACCTTCCTCGTTTGATTAAAGCCCATCGTCTTGTCAGGTACAATGACTAGACAGCAATTGAGTGAAAAAGCAGCTAAAGCCCAAAAAACTTTGAAGCACCTCCCGAAAGCCTGCAGAATTATATATCAAGACAACTTGTGAAATCAAAAATGCAAGTCTTTAAGTCAAAATATAAGGAAATTAGGGATCATTTAAAATCCTCACACGGGACTGTACTGTATGTGACACCTTCCAGAAGGTTTAAAAAGAATAATGCAACTCCAAAATACACTACCTGCCCTATTAATAACCAAAATTTAGCACAAAGAATAAGTTACTAGCAACAATATGTACTGAATAATACATGTCAACGTTTTTAAGTTAACTAAATTTGGACCATTCAATTAAAAATGCCATTGATCATGTTAAACTGACTCAAATTTAAACACCTTGACCAGGACTTTTCTCATAAAAATATCCCAAAACCAAACTCTAAGTGATTACAGGAAGTTAGTGACCAAAATTGATTAATTTTATGTTTTTCACCAATGCTTTTAAGTCTTGACAAAGCTTGCTCACATTGAAAAGAGATGTACGTTTTAAGATGACGCTGAATATTACTTCCTTAATGTGTTGAGAAACGCTGCTAGACAAACAAGTCAAGGTGATTTTATGGTCCAGTGTTTCAACAACATTACAACAAACCTTGAATGCAGGTAGAAACATGTTTTTACTGTAGGCTTCTAATGTTGATATCATTTGGAGAGATGAGATAATCCATTAGAGTTACTGAATGTGTATGTGACAGCAAAACCTGTAATCCATGACAAATATTAAAATGCTGTTGTTTGGTTAAAGGCTTATTTTGTTTCTGAATTTTGAATAAAGCATTAACTTGCATGAGCTGGATATTTTAAAATGTTCTCTTTTAAAAATAAGAAACATGATATAACTCGATGGCTGCTCATTTCTAATCTAAAGTGTGGTTATTTGGGAGTTTTCACTGAACCACAATTATTCCAGTTTCCAGTTCAAATACAGAAAGGGTTTCAATAAATGTTAAAACAGCGACATCTAGTGGTAAGATTGTTCATTACTTCATCAGCAGAGTAAAGAAGGTGTGCTGTGCCTTTGCGTAAAAAGGACATTTTAAATTAAATATTTAGTAACCCAAGTCATAATAATACATGCATACCAATATAGCGAGTTACTCTTTTAGTATTGCTATCTTAATAATAAATTTCAGAACAAAATATTGATATATTGCCCACTTGAACAGGATCAGAGGTAAGTCAGAGTCAGAGATTCTTTATTGTCATTCGCACTTCATGAGGTACATGTGGTAGAGAGAAATTATGTACACAGGGTCCCAGTTACATCCAACAATAAAATGTAAAAGAAAAAACAATGATAACATCTAAGATATTAACTAAGAAAAACATCAACTAAATATACACTAAGCACTAATAGCATTTAAAAAAATTACGTCGAACATCAGCACGAACATGAACATGAGTCTGTGTAAGCAGATGAGCAAGCATGAACAAATCAACATTGAAACAGGTCAGCAGCAACATTGAAACAGATCAACAGCAACATGATGTGATTATCCTGGTTAGATATTCATGAGTCTAACAGCCTGTGTGTGCTGGGTGAGTGGGGTCCTTCATGATGCAGGTGGCCTTCTTCCTGCATCTGGAGGTGTGATGGTGGAGAGACTGACTCCAACAGACTTCTGTGCAGCCTTCATGCCACACATTGATGCTGGAGCACAGGATGCTCTCCACTGCACACCTGTAGAAGGAAGTGAGGACTGAGCTTCCCAAACCAGCTCGTCTCAGCCGTCTGAGGAAGTAGAGTCTCTGATGAGCTTTCTTGATCAGGCTGGTGGTGTTGTTGCTCCAGCTCAGGTTGTCATTCATGTGTACACCCAAGTACTTGCTGGAGGCACTTCCACCGCAGATCCTCTTATGTTCAGGGGGATATAGGTGTTTTTGTTCCTTCTGAAGTCCACAATCATCTCCTTTCATCATCATCAATCTCCCCGGGGGCGTACCAAAGAGACCATCTTATCACAAACAAAACTGGTTTGTTCCACTTTGGAGTAAGCTATTGGGGGAAGAATCAGTTTTGTTGTGTGTTTCCTTGACTGATGAAGCCTTCATGATCGAAGGCGATACGTTTCAGCACAACAAAAGAAACTGTCCAGATGAACTGACTGAAAAATGTTGGTATGTAGATTTTAATTTGACAAAATATTTGTGGGTGCTTGCATTTTCTTCCATTTGTCATCCAGACACACTTTTGGAGCTCCAGTCAAAAATGGCTCAAGAATGCAAGGTGATGCTGAATCACTGAAGCTGAAAACGAATGCCCAGAAACGCTTTAAAGTGATTTATTGTTTATTTGTTTTAAAACGTATATGTTTTGTTTCAATAAAGTTCACTCTCTTTAAATAAAATATTGTGTATAAATTAGAAAAATGAAAAATCTTTGTGTGTGTTCTATGGATTTTTCTTATCTCCAAGAGGCAAATATTGTAGTAGTTTTACTTTGTGTCCTTAAATGTTTGGTGATAGTAAAAAAGGGGGAAAACAGTTAATTAAAAGTTTAAACCTAAAAACTAAATAAAAGTTAATTTATTTTGGTTATATTTTTAAAGAAAAGATTGAAAAATAGAAATGAGGGTAGATTTAAAGCAAAGGAAATAAAGGAAAATATGAAAATCTCAGTATGCAATTTATCCCTTGTGAATAAATATGCATGTGGGAGAGGACAACAAATACCACTGTAAAGCAAATTAAACGATAATACAGAGTTGTTTGTCACAAGTTTTCAACACAAGAAAGGACAAACCCTTATTTTTAAGCCATTTTATGACTGGCTGTCCAGTCCAGTAGGTGGCGATAAATTTGTTAGATGGTTTTCTAACCGCCAATAAAACGCAGAAGAAGAACAGGAGGCGGGGCCAACCAGAAAAACAAAAACATCTCAGCTCGGTAGCTCCTGTCAGTGGCAGTTCACTGAAATTAGTTTCTGCTATCTCATCATGGTACTGAAGTCATGCTTCGTTTACAGCACTGGAGTGGTTTCTATCTTACTGCTGATTGTCGGCATTGCTTTAGTTTTGGCTAACGTGTTTCCAAATGTGCTGAAATCGGCGGTTAAAAAGGTAACCTTTAAAGCTACTTATCAGCTTTAGCTTCGGTAGCTAGCATTAGCGCGAGCGTTAAGACAGTCCCATTTAGTGTTTTATTGTGAGTTTTCTCATAAAAATTGTAGCTGTTCTTACAGCTCTTAAGCTTTATATTTCCCCAATCTCAACTGCTATTCATAGTACATTCATGTAGCTAGTTTGAATATCACCTGTTGGTCAGGTGTAAAAATGTGTAAATAAACGGGTGTAAATATAGAAAAACTGGTAATAAACAAACTTACCATATTATACATTTTGATATTTAGTTTAACCTAAAGACCTGCATAGAAATCTGTGAGTTGATTTATTGCAACAGTCCTATGTAGCTGAACATGGTTTGTAAGCTCAATCATCCAGGTAGATAAATCACAAAAAAGGTTAAATCTTGTCATCTGGAAAAGTTTATTATGGGAGGAACGTTTCACTTTCATCAGTCTGTGTCCTGCCAACCAGATCTGTCCCATAAATAGCCCTCATTGATGTGTTTCAAGCCAACCTCCTGTTGAATTCCCAGAAACCGGCTTCCAACACAAGCAGCAAGGTTTTTGTTACTTCAGTTGTTTTCCATGAAAACATGGAAACTTTGGTTTGTGTCCTCCTTGTGTTTAATGAAAGAATGATTCCACCCTGCCATGTGATGTGAAACAGCTCATTCTCCGCATACATCATCATTTTTAACCCACTGACCTTTGTCCTTCATAGGAAGTAATTTTGAAAAATGGAACAGAGGCTTTTAAAGCCTGGACGGATCCTCCTGCACCTATCTACATGCAGTTTTACTTCTTCAGTGTGACAAATCCACAAGAGGTGCTGGGTGGGGAACGGCCGGCTGTGGTGGAGATTGGGCCGTACACGTATCGGTAAGAGACCAACGTCACAGTGGCTTCTTTTTATTATCTCAGAGGCCATCATGTGAAATTAAAGAAACATTTTAAAGTAAAAAAAAATAAAAGCTGCCCAACACAGTATCTGCCCCACCGTAACTAGAAATATTGCAGCTAAACTTGAACAATTTTTACAAATAATATAAGCAAACACTATTGTTTGTCAAGGTTCAAAGGTGCTATGATGCAGTTTTTTGTAGTTTGAAAAGATATGAAAACAAAAATAATTGAGTTTTTTGAGAGGCGAAGAGAAGAGCACGTCTGAGCTGTGTCTGTCTTTGGTAAGTGCTGCTTTTAGCTAGTGCGCCTGTATTGCGCGCCTTTAGCGCTACGTCAGTGCCGATGGGGGGGTGGGGTGCATGCAGTTCGGTTCGGTAGGCGGGGCGCTTGGTTCTGTTGATGGGGCAGGGCACCCTGCTTGTATAATGGTAAACACTGTATATACACACACACACAATGTTCAGGAAGAAGCTGTGCAAAGTCTGCACTGTCATGGCTAAGTATTATGCTGACTGTTTACATCTTTCTATGCAGAGAGTATCGACCAATGGAGGAAGTGGTTTTCCAAGATAATGGCACTAAAGTAGCAGCCGTCAATCCTAAAACCTACATTTTCCAGCCCAACATGTCTCGAGGTCCAGAAAGTGACCTCATCAGGACTGTTAACATCCCTGCCATGGTGAGCACAAACACAAAAAGAATTGGTCACCAAAGTACTGATGATGTCCTTTGTCAAGCAGTATTTATTTGATCTAAAAGCATTGATAGTCCAACACATCTTTAGTGAAACTTATTTAACACTATCCTTTTTGAAAAAGTAAATAATTTTTGTTACAAAAAGCACATAGTTCAAAGTTATTCTTCAAATACAGAGTAGATATTCCCTCTATTTGCCTTTGCAGTTAAGTAAAATGCATATTTAGAGCATATACAAATAACTACATACATATATACAAATAAGTAAAAGTATTCTAAAACAAGGAAGAATTCTGTGATTTGGAAAAATTACTTAAGTTAGTTTCCAACAGCACAAAATTATTAATTTCATTAATACACACACACAGTATATAGAGAGAGACTGACCTTTAAAGATATGATGACTGAAGATGTATCATATCAATTAGTTTAAAATTAACATTCTCACTGTTCAAGTTTATACCTTTAATGTCCATAATATATATAATCTTGAACTTCTAATCTATAATTTAGTTTTTCTTTTATTTACTGATAAAATTGATACTAACATGATGCAGGAGTAAAATGGTTAAATTACTAGAATTATTGTAAGTTAAAAAAAAATTGCATTCCTATGTTACTGAGACACAATCTGCACAGTACATGGATAGGTAATATTTATTAATGACTCATCATTTCACATCTTTACGTCAGGATGTTTTATGACGTTGTCATTGTCCTTTATTTCCTGGTAGACTTTGATGGAAAAATTCAAGGACTCACATTGGATTGCCTCTTTGATCTCTGCCTACATGACGTTCAACAACATAGGCCTGTTCTCCAGCCACACAGTGGAAGAGCTTCTGTGGGGATATGAAGATCCCTTGCTCAAAGAGGCCAAAAAATTTGACTCTACGATAGACGACTTTGTTGGACTTTTCTATAAAAGTAATGCTTCAAGTGATGGAGAATATGTCTTTTTCACCGGCCAGCAGAACTACACAGACTTTGCTAGGGTGGACAAATGGAATGGTAACAGGTAATCTTCTTTCACCTCCAACATAATTTAAAAATCCATCTTTCATTGAATCAAACCTGTGAGAATCATTGATCAGATAGTGTTTAAACTAAAATGTAACCTGTTCATTTTTTCCCATTGGTGCCTCATTGTTTCCAGCACTAACCTTGTGCCTGTTTAAATACGATTTAACAAAACAGTTCATACATCTCAGTCAAACATAGTCACCCACACACAAAGAAAAGATCAAACAGTAGTAAACTTCTTTTTTTATCTCAAATTGTTGTCTAAATGCCTGAAACTCAACTATCTGTTATGATCCTGATGCCATTTAAAGACACTAATAGTCACTTTTGTGTGTTTGAATGCAGCTCTTTGAACTGGTGGACGTCCGATGAGTGCAATATGATTAACGGAACCAACGGCGCGTTCTTCCATCCGATCGTCACAAAGGATGAGGTCCTTTATATGTTTTCCTCTGACCTGTGCAGGTGACGTGCTTCATCCCAGCATAGTTTTTTTTTTTTGTTTGTTTTAATGATAGTTTTTAATTTGATTTGAAGTTTATAACTTCAGCTAGTGGACGTTTTTTTGCTTATATTGTTTTTGTTTGATGGTGCACAGCAAAGCATCATTCCTTGCCTTTTTTTTTTCTTCTTTTTTTTTACTTCCTTTTAAAAAACAACGTCTTCCTAGTTTCGTGTCCACTTTTGCTGATACAGCATTTATGGTTTTTGCCCTGAACCTCAAGCTTAAGCTATGCAGTGAAATGCCTCCTTCGTTAGTTTTCTGTATCCTCAGTATTATCCAGGTTTAGAGACTGGATTAAGTACTTCAGTTCAGCTGGTTGAACTTCTGGTTAGGGATGCTTGAAACAAGAAATATCAGCTTTGACTGTAAATAAATGAGAATGAGCTCTATTCTCAATAAAAATCTAACCGCCAGGATTAAAATAACCTTTGAACACTGATTGTAAAACTTGTTTTGCCACTCAGGCTTTCAGGAAATCAGCTCATATAAATATGTGCCACTCTTCCTTTTAAAAAAAACCCCCTGGTATGTCATGTGTTTTCACAGTTACCATACATTTGACTTTGATTCATAGGTCTTTGTACGCTCTGCACACGGAGGACGTGACAGTGAAGGGGATCCCTGGGTATCGTTTCGTTCCCCCCCATGAGGTGTTTGCCAATCTGACTGTGAACCCAGCAAACGCAGGCTTCTGTGTGCCGGCTGGTAACTGCCTCGGCTCTGGCCTGCTCAACATCAGTTCGTGTAAACAAGGTGTGAAAATGCCGTACGAAACACGAGACGAGCTGCTTTAAAGAGACTTAAACATGTTTTTGTATCTGTCTTAAATGGGCCATTTTTCCCAGAATCTGTTTGATTTATTATCTGTTAAATTTCAAACTTGTGTTTGTTTAGGTGCTCCCATCATAATGTCCTCACCACACTTTTACCAGGCAGATGAGAAGTTTGCTCAGGATGTTTTTGGCATGAAGCCTAAGAAGGAACAGCACCAGACTGCCATTGATATCAATCCGGTAAAACATTCTCACTCAAAACTATGACTTGTCAGAATCAGAATAAGGTTTTTTATCATTGCACCGAGATACGAGTACATTGTTAGCACATCATAGTGAGTCTTTTTTTTTTCAACCTTTATTTAGACAAGTAAATCACATTGAGCCTCGAGGACTCATTTACAAGAGAGACCTGATTAAGTGATTGATTTTTATTGTCATGAAGCTAATAGTTTATCGCCTGTGCTTGAAAGGTGAAGGCAAACATGAAAGTTTTTGTGCATGAGTGTTCAAGTCTCTGTTACCAAAATAACTTGTGAACCAAGAAACAGATTTTAATGAAACTCTCAAAAATTAAAACGTGCATCTATGATTGATGAACATTTAGTTAATCCACTTCAAGATGGCTGCCACAGACAACAGAAAACTGACCATAATCCAGTCAGTTCTACAGATATTGAGCTAAAATTAATATTTATTAATGTGGTAGTAGCTGAGAGTCATTGAAAACACATGCTCTGATCATTTTACATGAGATTATTGTAGCAAGCTTTGTTGTACGTTAACACTTCCAGCAGAGATTAACCAAACCAGACAGTGTAAAAGTCAATAAATTCATTTTTTTGTTTTCAACGCAAGTGGATCTTGGTTTCAGTCTCTGGCATAGAAAGACAGCAAGTGATTCGCATGACTTTTCTTTATTTTTTTGTTGCCTGCAATATCAAAATAGTCCAATAGATGGTGAACTGTCCCTTTTGTTCCCCCTTAGCAGTGGTGAGCCAGTAGTTAAACAGCAGTTAAATATTAAAGCGGAGGTGGTACGGAGCTGTCACCAAAGATAAGCTTTAAAAGCTCTTATCGGGTCTAATAACTGTAATAACATGACTGAGTTTGGTGTAAAAGCCTTCATAGGTGGACAGGGATGGAAAAACAGTTTTAGGAGAACACCACACCACATTATGCACAAAAATATATAGATTTAGTGGATTTGTTACTCTCTGTAATCGTACATGATGTTTACGTAAACAAGAGACTTCTGTAAACTTAAAGTAGCTCTCAAGATGATGTAAAAATAGTGAGAAAATGACTCTTTCTCATAGTGCATAATTAGATTTTTTTATAGTTTTACTGGGTTTTGCAGAAATTACGGTAAATTGCAAAAAAAATAAAGCTCCCAGTTATTAATACTGTTAAAGACAAAAAAAACAACCTAAGGTCTCAAACCCCAAAAAGTCCATGCTCAGTAATCCAGGTATACAAGGTCTCAAAAGGTATTTTAAATAATTAATTGATCAAGGGTATTACTTAATAGTTTTAAAAATAGAAACTCATCGTTCATAGCCATTGCTAAAAATGTGCACCTATGCCTGATTACACAATCTAAACATGTTACAAAAATCAGCTCAAGTTAATTTTAAACCAAATCTTTTTTGGGGGTGGAATTATTACTTCCTGTTGATTAATTCTGCAATTTTTTTCCTGTACATTTTGAGCGATTTGAAATCATTTTGTAACACTCGTGCACCAGCATGGTCAAATGAAGCATGCTATGTCATGCACGAATAACAAAAATAGGAACGCTGCCTTTAAGTGTGACATAAACCTTCATAACTCCTGACTATGCCAGGTCGCTGCATGAGATTACTGAGATTGACTAAAGTCCTCTGACCAATAAAAGGTATTGACGATAGCCAAAACATCCATATCGGTCGAACTCAACATTTTATACAGTTGGTGGGCAGAAATGACTTAAAAGCTTTTAGTTCTACAGCTTCTCATCAAGATGGGTTTAACAAAAAAGCATAAATTCACACCTATTATATTCTTATGGTACCTGTGGTGCCAAAAATCATTGCACAATATTGTCAAAACTGGAACCACCTTAAAGTAGAGGTGAAAAAACACGGGGGTTCATTTGAACATGAAGCTCAAACCAGCAACTTTCGGATTAAAAGACAACTAGGCCACCTGCTCTGAAGCTGCCAGGAGGGTGGTTGAGAGATGAACTTGTTTATCCTAACCCGGTGTTTGCAACTTTGGGAAGGGACAAATGATGCCGATTGATGTATTGGCTGATCTTTTTTTTTTTACTTCATCCACCCCCAAAAATCCAAGTAAGCAGCGAGTGGTATGAGACTTGTTTATTTAGCGCAGCTGTTAGCAACCATGAAGCTAAGCTAATCAGATCCATGCTATACCAGTCCCACACTAGGTTTGCAAGTGGTGTACTGGTCATAAAAACAGTTTTCCTAGCATGGGTTCACATTTTCTATCCTCCACCATTCACCATAAAATTATCAAGCGTGTTACAAAAATATAGATTAAACAAAGAAACACCCTTCCCTGTTCAGTGTTTAAACAGTCAGTCATTTAAAAAGAAGGTCTAATTAGTATTGACCGCAGTAGCATTTTTATTTTTTCTTTGCAAAGAAGTAAAATTTTCAAACAATGCATTTCATTGAGGACAACAAGGATAACATTACTAACTCATATATTTTATTGTTCTGGTTAAAGTTTTACAAGTCAATAACCTATGCTAGGTTATCTAAACAGTAGCTTGCTAACTTGAGAGGCACGTAGCTAATGGCTAGCGGGTTGGAGGATTGAAGAGAATTTGTTATTGTTGATTTATTTTAATTTAGTGGCCATTTAAAATAAACTTACCGTGCAAAACGCGCCACACAGTATTTAGTAGCTCCCTGCTTCTTGGGTCTCCTCTTGGCTGTGAGTCAAGTGTGCAGCGTGGCCATGACTTGAAAGTAGTCCGCATGCGCCCTCTGCTGGATACATTGTACAATTGTGCCATTTGCAAGTAAGGACACGGCTCGTTCCCAGCATTTTAGGGGTGAAAATTTGAAGTGTTTATATTGGTGCATAATGGGCCAATTATCACCGATACCGATATGTCCCCAAATGCCTATATCGACCCTACCGATATATCGGTCAGGCTCTAATAAAGTTCTTAAAATATTGTAACCAGAAGGATATTTAACATGTTCAAACTGGAACTGAGTAACGTGGTGTTTAATTTATTTAAAGTGTTGTTTCTACATCTGATAGAAGCATGAGAGAATACTAACTGAGCTCAGATCTGCTTCTAAGTTTGATTCTGTTTTGCAGCTAACAGGAATCGTCCTACAAGCGGCCAAGCGGCTCCAGATTAACGTCTACGTGGAGAAAATCCCCTACTTCAGGTAATCGGCTCGTTTTCTTCATCTGTCACTTGTTGCATGGAAGTGTTAGAAAATTTATGCTGTTTTTAACAAACGTCCCAGTCTCCATGCTGGCTTTAAAGGAAACTCTTGGAGCTGTATGAATGATCATATCTGGGAAGGGCAGTCTGGAAGATAAAAAGCTGTTTTGCCACCATCATCATTATTAGTGGACTTTTGAACAGTTCCATGAAACACCTGAGAGAAATGGAATGAGATCAGTTTTCTAGATGATTTTTTTCCTCTTTCGGTTCAAATTATCTCGATCAACGGTTTGATTTGATGCAAAGGAATACAAACACTTCATTTAAATAAATGAAAACTGAAGTGTTGAGGGAGTGTGTGCATTTCTCCTTCAAAGAAACTGGTCCAGATGACTTGATTTAACCGTTTTTGTTATTAATCTGCACACTATTGTGTAATACACATATATTTTATTTATTTATTTTTTATTTGGCCCTCGAGTAAAGATGGCAGAGTTGAAAAAGTTTTAGTTTACACTTGTAAGGCAGCAAAGTAGAAATTCAAGAGGTGCTCGATATTTTCACACAAGCTGACGTAGCCATTTAAAAGTGTAGGATTTTTATTTTATTGACAAAGTTTACACAACGTCATACAAACATCTGTTAAGCAAATAATCTTGTATAATTTTAAAGGGTCACCGTGTTGGTTAATATCAGGTTCGAGACGGGTCGAGTCCCGCTGGTTGTTGATTCTTGCACATTGTCTCCATCTTAATGTCTTTTGAAGCAATATATTTTTTATTTACACTACCTCATCTTATATTACAGATGATTCCTTTGAGGTTTTACTCTCAGTTGGTCCAAAATCAGCAAAGACCCCCAACATTCACCGCCATAAGTGTTGCTTAATACTCTAAAGTAAAACACACATTGGGTTTATATTGAGAAATCTTTTCACTCACCTCCATGAAAGTGATTCACTGTCTAAATGTTCATATAGTCTGCATCCTGTAGATTGCTTGAAATAGCTAAACATGTTTTTGAATAATGTTATTTATTTTTTGAGTTTAACTTTGCCTTTCGTTCAGAACGTTAGACTGAAAAGTTTGAGTGTAAACAAGAGGAAAAAACTGTTTTTACTTTCAGTCAAACGGGAAACGTGAGGACCGTGGTCTTCCCTGTGGTTTATCTCAATGAGGTACACACACACACATTTCACCTTTATGGTAATTTTTGCTGTCACACACTCCGTACTGGTTTTCATCCATTTATTATTGAGTTGTGGAAGCAACAACTGGTCAAAAAATGATTAAACCACCACTAATGAAGGATGTTTTATCCATTGTTTATCCCAGACATGCTACAAAACTATAATTTGTTCCAGATTCTGGATAGAGTTGCATTCGGGCCTTAAAAATCTGGCCCGGCTCGAGCCCATAGGCACTGTGTACAAGCTCGATCCAACCCAACTAATTAACTCTAATCAGAGTCCCGAACCTGAAGCAAACTCGACATGTTATTTTAATTAAGCTTTTACTGCTTTTGTAAGCAAATTAGTTTGACATGATGGTTAAAAAAAAACATATTTCTAAGAAAGGAAGATATAAGATTTCTTGTTTATTAATAAGTCACCAAATGGATAGCTTACATTAACATACAAAACAAATAGCCTAAAAAAATCAACTCTAAAGATGAACAAAAATATTTTTAGTGCAAAATTATTTGGAAAAATATAGATCAAGTGACCTAAAAGAAAATCGTGCAAGATTAACCTTAGTCACGCTGTTGCTGACGATGGAGCGATTTAACTGACACCCAAGCAAAGCAGGGCGGGCGGGGCCATAGGGTGGGCGGGGCCACATGTGCAATTAGTTGTGCAATGCTCCAGCGCTGCTCTCTCTTTTCACAGTCTGATTAACCGCTGCACTTTATTTTCTTTCTTTCTCATCCTCAACATCGTAAAGTTACTGCCTCCTCCTCAACAAGTAGATTAACACATTATATCGTGCATTCTCATTTAGACTTCTTTGTGCTGTATGATTCGTAAAACCACACCACAGAAGCCCGACCCGGCCCAGCCCGCTCATCAAACACATCATTTTGGCCTGGCTCGGGCCATAAATTGCAACTCTAATTCTGAATACACCTTCAACATATGACTTAAGATTTATTTATTTAAAAAAAAAATTTTTTTTACCATCAGTAGTTGTAATTAACATGTACCCTAAATCATGATTTGTTACTCCTCAACATATTGAAGTGTTGACTCACAGACTGGAACCAAATAAAAAAAAAGTGATATTTTAAATTTTCAATTAGTTCATTTAATTGTGTATTTAGTCCTTGACTGCAGTGAAGCAATCTTGAGTGCATTCCAGGAGCTCTTTACTCATGCAAACATGTAAAGTTGTATTTTCTTTTCGTTCTTACCACCAGAGCGTTCTCATTGACGACGCATCGGCCAAGAAGCTGCAGGCGATTGTTCTTGAGAAGAACGTTGTTGAGAACGTTCCCTTCATGCTGATCGGTCTCGGCATCATTTTTGGAGGACTGTTCTTGTTCCTGATGTGTCGACAGAAAGTCCCAGAGGTAAGTGAGCATCGCGCGCCAAGTCATTTATAGACCGTGACGTCGTTAACACTAACGCAAATTATTCTCACGGTCAAAATAAAAACTCCAGGAAAGTAAATTTAGGAAAAAAGCAAATTTTCTTAAACATCTGATAAGGTTTCTGATAGTCATATCCAAGTGTTAACAAGTACCAAAAGCTTAATATGTGATTGTATTTATTGAAAACGTGACGTCTTGTTGTTAATTTTTGTTTTCCAGAGCACTGTTGCTGAACGTGAACCTCTGCTGTCTTCATAGCACAAAGGAGGATGTGTGAGGAGGTTTGTTGTGTGTGTAGAATCATTTTAAGTGTGTAAATCAAAAACATTGATCACAACGTAACCACTACTACTCAGAATGCTATCTCCTAATCAGTTATTAATCGCATGGTTATAGAAACGTGATCGAATTCCTAAACTTGTGTCTTTAACGAGCACATACTGCGGTTATTGTTTTCGTTTCAAGCTGCGGTGTTTTTAACATAAAATGTACGCTTTTTTTATTGTTCTTTTTTACCACACTAAACAGCCAAACAGCATGTAATTCATACTCAAAAATGTATTTTACTGTTGCCATATTTTGTGTTAATTTGCCACATTTCTGATTGTGTATAAATGTGTATTCATGTTTATAAGTCCGTGAACTAACAGCTTGTGTATGAGCTGAACGAGTTTTTGAGGGAGTTTGTTTTAATGAGGAAATATTTGTTTTTAATTTTCTGTATCAACTTAAAGCACTGGCGAAAAGTTTTAATCTTAATAAGATTAATGTTGTTTTTATAGTCGAAAAAGTGTTTATTGAAACAAATGCTTACTAAAGCCATGATGATGATGACGAATTGATTTTGTCAATCTGTTGCACTCAAGTAGTTGTCAAATATGGATGATCTTATTTTGATGTAATATATTTCTGCTGTAGTCCACCCCAGTCAAAACCAAGTACCGTATTTTCCCGACTATAAGTTGCACTTTTTTCATAGTTTGGGCCAGTCCTGCGACTTTTTTACTTTTTTTTTCCTATTCATGATGCAGTTTTTGACGCATTAAATGTTCATTGATACTGACATGAACCAAAGAGTAAACATTACCATTTGCAGCCACGAGAGAGCCCTCTAGACTTTTGACAGCTATATGTTGTTCTTCTACCGCTACCCCCCTCAAACATTCACTTAGAGACTACTGAGAAAAACATAACACAAATAAAATGCCCCCAAAATGATGTGGAATGAGACTAGTGAATTTACTGGTAATTACTTGTCGGACTCGTTAGCTTGTTATGTTAATTAATCGTGTTCAGGATCCCAGGTCTGTTCTGTGTGTTATTGTTATTTCAGATTAAATGTCTGTTCTTGCACTTTGTGAAATACACTTCTAAATAAATGCCACTTATACTCCAGAGCAATTTATAGTCTGGAAGATAAGGTATGTTAAGTACAAGCCAGTCAGTGTTACAAGATAAAAGGGATGTTTTGTTTTTATTTTTATATGGTGTGTGTATATGGGCACAGAAACATGTTTCTCCTCTTAAGCATAATGTTTTATCATAAATTAGTTTTATCGCTTCTACTAAAATCCCTAAACCAACAGTTTGGTGTAAGCGTCACGGCTGAGGTGTGTTACAGATGTGCTCTAGCTCTGCTGGGCTGTCGCTGTTTAATTGTTCATGTTTCAACGTTGCACACTAAACCATTTTTATTTGAAGTTATAATAACTGACAAAGAGAGCGTGTTTTTTGTTTTGTATGAAAAAGAATGTTCCATGTTACTACTTCATGCTAAAATGTATATGCCTAACATTTAATCACTGTTTATATTCTCTGAACAAGAAATGTCAAATAGATACAATTTCTTATTAATCTTGTCATTTATGTACACCAAATTGTTTTGTAATAATTCCTGAACGTGTTTAGTTTAACACACCAATTATTGTTTGGGTTATGAAGCTAGCTGAACTAGCTAGCACACAAAAGCTAATTATGACTTAGCTGTTAGCCTCAGAAACAAATTTTATCAAATGGTAAAAAAATAAACGTAATATGTGAGTTATGATTGTTGTATTGCTAATTCTTGAGTTAACTGTTGCTATTGAAGGTATTTTAATGCTAACTCCAACAAACTTTCAGATAATCTGTCAATAAATTCTTCTGGAAAACTTTTTTGTTGTTTTAGGATTTTTTTTTTCTTATTTATTATTCACACATTTTCACTTTATTTTAAATTATTTAGTCTTTAGACCTTGAGATGATGATAATGATGCTGTAAGTAATGCTAAACAATACAGGAGGCAGCTAATCTGTTTTTTTTTTTTAAAGCTGTGACATATCTGCGTAATAAATTTAGCTACTTAACCATAATGTAATGCATGTTTTTTTAATTATTTTTATTATTTTTGTTTTAATTGCATTTTCCAAATTATCTGAGAAAATGTGGTTCATTAGGTGAATTTAGTTACAACTCCAAAATGACTCATAACTTTTTTTTTAACTAATGTTTTTTTTTATTATCTTTATATTTGTAGGAAATTTTGTTGCCTTTAACATATTTAAACAGATATTATAAATTTTCTTTTATTTTCTCGCTTTTATTCAATATGCTGAACTTGGTAAAACTATGTCCTTTAGCTATACAGGAGCAAATGTTAAATATGTTTTATATTTAAGGCTTTGCTTTTAAAGTTTTTTTTTTTTAAACTTCGGAGTCCTGCACAGTGCAGCAGTGGTTAGTAATGTTGCCTCACAACTAGAAGATTCTGGATTAAAATCTCGGTGTGCCCTGGCCTTTTTATTTTCAGTTTGACTCCTCTCTCTGTGCAGGGGCATCGAGACATATTTTATGCTGACATCATTCACAATAATACAATGCTCATTCCTCATATTCATCTCCAAACTGAGGCGGTGCTGACTAATACCTGCATGGATAGATACCTCATTTAACCCCCACTTCAGAGGCACCGCCCAATCCCTTTAAGGTCTCCAATACCTTCGACGTGGAGTTGTCCTGAATTACCTGCTCAAACTGGACTTTGGACACCCGGAGATAAACTTTGGCTTTGGTTGTTCTTATAAAACTGATAAGTTCCACTTCTGTGAGAGATTTCTTTCACCGACTCTGACTTGAGCAGCTCGTTCTGCCAAATTAAAGAAACAGCGAATTAGAGGTTGACTCCTCCCCAACCCAATTAAAGCCTTTAATACAACCGAGAGGAGCCGTCCATCAGACCAGCATCTCTTGTGAGCTCAAACCGCTGCAGAGAACATGAGGACACTCCAGGAGAAGATCATCATCCTCTCTGTCATTTTGTCCCTTTTCTGTCTCACTCAGGTGAGTGTTCTGTCAGCGTATGCACAAAATGTGTTTTATCCTCTTGAGCTGATCATATCGTAAAAATAACTTCTGATGTTTGTCTCCACAGATCAATGCACTCCCAGTTCCTGATGACTGGGACAGATTGATCCAGAGAACCAAACGGTCACTTCTGTGGCGCTGGAACAGTCTGAAACCTGTCGGAGCCAGCTGCAGAGATCACTTAGAGTGTGGCACAAACTACTGCAGGTAAAGCTGAGCTTCGCGAATTAAAGATACTTTGAAACTGGAAAGGGTATGAACAATTAATATCTCACCTGTTGCAGATAGCTCAGTTTGGAGAAACAAGAGTTAAAGCTGACGGGAGTGACGAGCAAGCATCTAGTCCAAGTGAAACCAGAACCAAAGTTTTGCATTATATAGTTATTTTAGCAAATATTGGGATTTTATTGTCATAAGTGCCACAAGTTGCTTATAAAATGCTACAGCTAACTGTTGTTGCTACTACTTGTGTTTGCAAAACCCTGCCGATCTGTGTCAACACCTGCGTAATGCAAAACTGTTAGCAAAGTAAAGTTTTTTTTTTTTAACTATTTACATGAACCACCATGAAAATAACAGATCAAAGCTGTTTTAACTAAATTTGGTCTTGCCCCCGCTCAGATTAGCTGTTATCCTGTCAGTATGATCAGAATTAAACTGTTTCTCCAAACTGAGGTTGTACAAAAAGCTATCCACAACAGGTAAGATATTTACTGTTCTTACCTTTGCCACAAAACCCCACTCCAAAATAGCTGAACTTACCGTTAAGGGTAAATATTAGAGATAAATGTGTGAAAATGAAACCAGACGTGGAATTTCTTTACAATGTTTCTGAATGTGTAGTTTCCATGTTATCAACAGTAATATTTACGTGCTGTTTTTAATCTCAAGTTGTTTTTTTTATTTTTATTTTGCTTATTGATGACAACTTCAGATGCAAAGATCCGCAATAAATGAGCTCTTTATCTTTTACAGGAGAAACATTTGTTCATTCTGAGACTTGTGCAGAAGAAAAGACACAAACATATTTCTATCAGGCTGATACAAGAAAAATATTCCCCGTGGAACCCCCCACCCGCCCCTCTCTGATCACCTGCCTCCGTCTAAAAACGTGATGGAAGATTTTCAGATCCTCTGCAGCTGGAGTTCCTGCAGGAGACAAGAAAACAAAGCTGTAAAAGCTGATTACGCGTGTGTGAAATGTCCCAGTCCTGTTTGCTGTACCAGCACACCGGTTGTGTCACCTGCGTGTGTTGATAAGAAAATACAAACATCCGTGCACAGTTTGTGAGCTCTGAATTTATTGGTTCATGTTGTTATTGTTGTTTATTTATTTGTAAGTGCTGTAAATAATCAAATACACATTTTTTAAAAGAATTTAAACTGCCCATATGTTTTTGTTAAATCTAGATTTTAAAACATTTCTCACACTTTCTGTGACTCTTTAAATGGAAAAACTATATTTACAGATCGATACGATTCTCGTCACTGACCAAAGCTTCATCTTCATCAGCTGTTATTGGTTTATTTTTTTTATCAACTTTTTACATCATGAAAAGTTGTTCAAATTCACATAAGTGTTCTGCCATTTTTATAATGAATAGTTTTGAAGGTTTTAAGAGTAAATTTTTAATGATGTCTGATTTGAGAAGAATTATTGTAAATTAAATAAATACAAGAAAAACTGCCCTAAACTTTTTTTCTTTTAGGCAGTAAACAAAAACAAGTTTCTAATCTTTACATATCAACTATCAAACATTTGAATATCTGCAGTAAATCCACACACATCTTTAACTCAAAACTTTTTTTTTAAACAATAAAGCCACTGCTCTCACATTGATTAAATGAGTTTTATCCAACAAACATGTTTACTGAATATTCTAGATTATATTCCATGTTGACTAAGTAGTTTGAATCATTTTTTAATCTCCTTTATAAATAAATATTTACAGACTTTGTGAGATGTTAAAAGATGTTCCAGCTTTCTATTTAAAAATATACAATTAATGTTTTTACATGACCACCATGTGAACTGAGACATTTCACAATACTAGTAATAATAAGCATAGTAATATTCATGTACAGTACACAGTAGTGTCTGGAAAGATTACAAATTGAGCAGGTGAGACAACTGACCAGCAGGGGGCGACACGAGGCTTAATTCGGTAAATTAAGGACTGGTGAATTTAATATTTTCTTAATTTAATTTTGTTTTCTTCTATTTATCAGGGGTTGGTTGTTTTTAGGATTTGTTTAAAATTCCAGCTTCATGTTCTGTTTTCTTCAGTTTACTGTTTTATTCTGACAACCCCGTGGCTACGTGTTCACTGTGATAAAAATATAAGATACTCACTTGAGTTTTGCTTCAAAGTGTCACCTGTTCTTCATTTTTATTTATTTGGAGGAAGGCTGGGTGTTACTTTATATTCAATAATAAACGTTAAGTATTGCCATTTTGGCATGATTGTTTCTCATAAAGAAAAATCAGTTTCCATCTTGTTTCTTGGATACTTCGAGATGCGGAGACCTCTCTGTCTTCTGATTGGCTGGAGCCGTCGTGACGTAACACCTCAGCCTGTCTGAGCGGTGCTGAAGCTGCAGCGCGCTGAAGGGGGGACCACCACAGACTCGGCGTGGGGGGACCGGGTTCGGCGGTCGAACTGTGAGAGTCCAGTTTCAGGAAACAAACGCAGGTTTTTAACCATCTGGTTTCCGGTTTCTGGGAGGAAAAGAACTGATTTTAAAAACATTTTTGTTAAAGATTAATTCAGAGGAAGAGGATCTGATGGCTGATTCCAAGTAGGTTCATCTACTTTTCTTTGAAGTACTTTCAAATGTTCTTGGTTCTGAACTGTTTTACATCTGCACCTTACTTTATCAAATATATTTTATTTTATATCTGTGCTGTCTAGCATGTTGTCCCATTTCCAGTCACTGTTTAAACTCTGATGGTTTCAAATAGGAACATGCTCATATAAAGAGCTGGTCGTTACAGCCTGGCATGAAGATGGCATGCGACACCAAATCATTAAATATTGGACAAAAAGTGTGTGCAGAAAACATGAATCTGTACAGCTTCTATTAAGCTGCTGTGGATTCATTACGCTTAATGTTTGCATGATGACACATTGACAAGAAGGAAAGACCAGTGATGCTCTTAGAGGAGGAATCTCTGGGCAGCACAATATAGTGGTTGCCTGTTTGCCTTACAGCAAGGAGGTTTGGGGTTCAATTCCTGGTTTGGCCCTTCTGTGTAGTTTGCATGGGTTTCCTCCCATGCATGTTAGGCTGCCTTCAGGCCCAAGCCTCCCTTGCAAAAGAGATCTGTGGAATTTGCCTGTTTAAATAAAGGCTAATAAATGAGAAATAAATTAATTTCCAAACAATCTGGACAATCCAAGACAGCTGCCTATTTTCTTAGAAGTGGATTTTTCCTCGTGTTCACTCAGGCATCAGGCCTTTTAGTTTTAAATTATTATTTTTTTTAATTGCTGAAAAGCCACAGTTCAATCTGCAGAAAGTTAATGGTAAAGTATGTGAAAGCATAAAAATAAAGACTTGATGTTTGGTGCAAAAATATTGCTTAGTCTGGAATGATGCATTTGGAGTACGTAAAACTAAAGAGGAAATTTTGATCTTATTCTCTTCGAATATTTTCTGAATAAGTATAATTGCGCTGTATTCATGTGGATAAAATGAAACGTAAAGATTTAATTTCGATAATGGCTTATTCCAGAGTCCAGCCTCGTCAATGCAGACAGATATGAGCTGCAAGGACCTCGTCTTGTCAGCATCCTGAACTCACTCGACCTCAGATTTCACTTTTATGTACCTATGAGTCCCATCCTTTGTGCTAAACAGCTGGCATGAAATAAACATCCATAGAAGTAATTCAGTTAATCGCAGCGATCCTTGTGTGCTTCGTGATGGACTGAAACTCCGCAGACCACTGCTCGCTCATGCTGGCCTACTTTTCAGGGGATTAAAACGACTGGAAGTGAGTGGGGACAGGCTAACTCAAGATTTTCTCCCATTTAATTACAAGAGACATTAATCTTGGTTAAGACATATGGAAAGATTTAATGTGGGTTTTTTAAATATTTTGTAATAAAAGTAAGGTTTGATCTAGAGCAAAACGTGCAGACTCTCACTGATGCTTCAAATATAAAAGGGCTTGCTCTCGTTGCACTCCGGGGGATTTATGTTTTGTCTGGTGCGACTAGGCGAACAAACACACCCAGTGAGTCAAGAAAAATGCCTCAGGAAGACACTGCTCCCCCTAACCTGCTTCTATTTATATGGTAGCTTCAGTATTAAAAATGGTTCTGTGCTGGGAGCAAATGCAGTCAAAGTCAAAATAATGCACACAGTTTGAGCTGTATGTGAAAACAAGTAGACAGCAAAAAGCTTTAGTTTTGCACATTTAGAGACAATTTTGTGTGAAATGGATGAAAATGAGGTCAAGGCTACACGTTGGAGCTTTTTCTTTAGCTTATTTGTCTTTTTTTTGAGAAAAGCCAGTTTAGCCATGATGATAAATGAAAGACATCCCTGAGGGCGACATTAGCAGATGCTTTTTAAATGCATCGCTTAAAAGTACAACAAACTGCTCAAATGCAGCATGAAGACAGAAAGAATTACTCTGGAACTTGTAGTTTTTCCAAACATCACTTTTCTTTGAGTTTATCTGCAGAGCTGTGAAAATTGAATTTCTCGAACTCACTCTTCTTGTGCCTTCTTGTTCATTTCAGACTTCATGCTCGGTGTATGAAGACAGAAGAAGTATTTGAAGGAACCTAACTGATGTGAAAGTGGGTTTAGGTCTTAGCGGTGCCAGCGGAGCATCTCTGCAGTGGAGCTGCCCCAGTTACAGAGCAGCTGACTAACAGTGAAGGACTGTGGTTGGACCGAGTGGAGGGGGGTGGGGGGTTGTTAATAAGCCACTGAATTATGGAGCGCATGCTGCGCTGAGGGCCTGAGGCGAACGCAGGAAGACTTTGAGGACTGCTGGCGGAGACTCTGACAAGTGTAGCTCGCAGTTCTGCTTTACGGTTTCGTCTTGTTCTGTTCTGTTGTGAAGCTCGTTCTCCAAACCTAAAGATGCATTTTCCTTTTCTGAGCACAACAAACTCTAATTAGGTCCCAGAGGCAATGAACCCGTTTCAGAAAATAATAATCTTAAGAGCTTTACATGCAGTGTTTACCCTTGAATCTGTTTATGTTGCGAGGCTTGAATTACAACAACCGCTGAGGAAAAAATCGAAGAAGAATTTAAGAAGCAGATCAGTAGATGTTTCTCCTAAACAATGCAGTTGTTAACAACAGATCGCACCATGTCTTATGTTGAAAAAAAATAGTTGAAACTTATTGGATCAAACTTTGAGTATAACACTGAGTATGTGCTGTGAATTTAGCTCAATATCTATAAAAACTGACTGAGTAATAAATGTTGTGTTGGCTAATGTCGGTTGGATGTGGTGACCATCTTGACTTGGACCGACTCCTGTAGCCAATCAGTTGTAGATGCACTTTCATTTATTCCTTTCTGAATGTTTCATTAAAACCTGTCCTGAAGTTCACGAGATATTTTGCTAACAGACAAACAGGGTTGAGAGTATGTGCTGTGAATGACTCTTAGCTGCAACCACACATGGTTTTAGCTCAATGTCTGTAAAATTGATTGAGTTATAGACATTTTTTGTGTTTTTTAAGGTCAGTTTTCTGTGGCGGCCATCTTGAACTGAACTGACTTCAGAAGGTGACCAGTTATAGATGCACATCCCATAATTACTTTTTGGTTACTTTTTGGGTTTTGGTTATCTGTTATTTAACAGTCAACAATGGTGTACCACAAGGCTCTGTCTTAGGACGCACCCTTTTTACAATCTACACAGGTAATGTAGGTCATAACATCCCTGATGCATCCTTATTTATATGCTGTTGATACAGTTGTTTAGTGTCGAGCTAAAACAGTTGCTAAGGTTTTCTATCTTTTGCAATCCGCTTTCAACATCATCCAGTTAGATTTGTTCCATCTCAAACTTGTCCTAAACGCCGACAAAACCAAAGGGATGATTTTTTCAAACAGGAAGTCAGTCCCAGCAGTTCTACCTCTGATTTTATCCTTGAATGGTATCCCTATTGAGTTTATTGATATATTTGGGTATCTTGATCGATTCACATCTCTCTTGTAAGCTCCACGTGGAAAACCTAGTAAGGAAATTGAAAGTTAAACTGGGCTTCTTTTTCACAAACAGATCCTGTTTAACTCCGAATGCTAGGAAACGCCTTGTAACTGCGACTTTCCTTCCCTCCATTGACTACGGTGACATTTACATGAACGCCCCCACAAGAACCCTGCAGATGTTGGATGCTGTCTAACATGGTGTGCTAAGATTCATAACTGGCTGTAACTACCATACCCGTCACTGCACCCAGTATTCACTGGTTAAATGGTCATCATTAACTTAACCTAGACTCTCTCACTGGTACGGACTGAACTAGGCAAAAGGGCCTTCTCCTACTCCTCTCCTGTTTCCTGGAATATCTTGCAAAAACATCTGAAACACTTAAACTTGACTTCTCTAAGTGGCTTTAAACATCTGTTAAGTTCCTGGCAAAAACCAACGCAGCCATGTTCCTGTTTTTAGTTTTCTACATCGCCCTACAATCTAGCTGTTTGTTTTTTGTCACATTTTCTTTTAAATACCATGTTATTTTCACTTATTAAAAAAAATCTCAATTTATACGCATCCTTTATGATTGTCTATTATTGTCATTGTTGTCTACTGTTGTCATCACTGTGTTAAAATCAGGTCTCTCTTGTAAATGAGTCCCCGAGGCTCAATGGGATTAACCTGTCTAAATAAAGGTTGAATGAACGGTAGTTTCATTCAAATTGCCCAGCAATTCATGAGATATTTAACCAAAAACATATATTTTCTTGTTGTTAAGTTGTTTTGCTCCACTTTATTCATTAAAACTAATACAAAAAATATTTTTTCCTCTTTTATGTTTTTAGGTGTAGTTTCAGGAATGTGGGGACAGCTTCCCTAGTTCAGCCTCATCCAGCAGCATGATTGGTGCGTCTAGCCATTCAGGGGACACCTTGATAGCGTGCCACTTCCCTGTGGTCCAACTTCCTTCTTGGCAGCTTCCTGTCCAGGCTCTGTGCAGCAAGAAACCTGGCCGACTTTGCTCGGTGGGCCTGACCCGAGCTGCGTCCCTCCCAGACCAGGACACGTCAACCAGAGAGCACGCCTTCACAGGTGGACGAAGACGTTTCTCCAGCAGCCACGGTAGTCTCAACGAGGATCGAGCAGAGGAGGAAGGAACCAGCGACAGCAGCGGGAAGTACGACTCCACCTCGTCGCCAGAAGAGACGAGTTCCCGCCCGAGGCTGGAGAGCTCTGTGCGCTCACGCAACTCGTTTCTTCCGAATGCAGAGCTCGATGAGGATGAGGAAGATGAGGATAGCGGTGGGGATAATCTCCACAGATATCACGAGGATTCATCTTTTGTGTTGCATGGAAGTTCTAACTGGTCACTGAGCACTGGTGATGTGAATTTTACATATCCTGATGGGGACCTGGACAGCGAATGGGGCAATGAAGGTACCATGCTGGGCATGGGAAGGGATGGACCTGACCGGGTGGACTCCCTGCAGCCAGAACGCCAGCTTCACGTGAGCAGATCTGACATCAGTTTGGAGCAGGACTCCTACAGACCACAGGATAACGTGTCCGTCTGCAGCCGCGGCCAGGACAAATGCTCGTCCAGTGCTCACATGGAGTACGGCAGTGACTCCTCCTGCAACAGCTCCGATGGTGTTTTGGTGAACTTCTGTGCCATCTACAACAAGAGCAACAATCCTGCCACCCCTCATGACCTCAGCAGTCCTGCAGTTCCCCCCTCTGAGGGCTCCGTGTTCCTCAACCTACAACCGGTTCCTCAAACACGACTTGCTCATGACGCAACAGTTTACTCTCCCCTAAAAGAAGAAGCTGACACGAGTGAGTCCCAGTGGTCTCCTCAGGGCCTCGACTCAAACTGCAACCTTTACTCCCTAGAGCCGCAGCCCCCGGGCCTCTCTTCTCTGGAGGTTTCAGACCTGGCAGCCTGTCTTCAAAGCCAGGCCTCGCTGGCCATAGGGACCAACCAGAAGTACTACAAGCTCGTGACCTGCGACCTCTCCTCCCAGTCACCGAGCCCAGTCTGCTCCAGCCTCACCAGCTGCCCCGCGGGGCACGGCAGAAGCAGCCCGATCCCTCTGCCTCTTGACTTTAAAAAAGAAGAACACTCTAAAGTTGTGAAGGTTGGTTGGATACAAGAACATTTTAGCTCACTAAGTTAAAACTGTTAAGATTTATACTCTGAAATATGAATTGGTGCGAAACACTGTGTCAGGTTTTGTTATGGTTCCGGGGTCTTTGTTGTAGCTTTAGACAATAACCTGGTTTAGTATTGGGAATATTGTGTTTTAAATTGATTTTAGTTTATGTTCTTAGTTTGTCTCCATCGTTGCCATTAAATGTTCTTAGTAGTTTCTGGTTCCACCTGGTTTTCATTAGTAGTCAGGACACCTGTTTCCCCTTATCATCCTTCTTCCTAGAATATTCCCTCTTTTGTTTTCCTCAGTCTCTTTATCAAATCTTATGTTATGTTGGCTTTTGTGTGCTTCTCTGCCTTTGAGTTTATCAAAAGTTCAAGTTTTAGTCCTGAATTTGTCTCGTGCTTTCTTGCATTTGGGTGCTAGTAGGGATTCTCAGGTCTTCATTGCAGCATTGTGTCTTGTTCTTACGTTAATTTTGCCTCCAAAAAAAATTATACCTCAGAAAAAATATTCATCTACACTACTCCTCGTTCACTATTCATCTGACACCCCGTGCATGCCCATACCATGACACTCCCTCCACATATTTTCATATTCATTAAAACACAAATTTTACATGATTTAATAATTAATAATTTCATAAAATTTTCATAAAATCGTTTCCTCCCTAATCTGTTTTGGCCATTGAGGCTTGATTGATTAAGGAGCATTTTGCTCTTCCGGAGTCGTCTTTTTGTTTATAGAATATTTTACCTTGTGCAGAGTTTATTATCATCCAAACCAAACAGCAATCATTAGTTCAGTTATTCTGTTCATACAGAAACAAACACTTCATATTAAGTTGGTAAAAATCAAAAAGACTATCCAAGAATTAATGGATTATGTTAGCTCCAATTACTTAGTTGATTTTAAGAAATTAGGATTATTGTTGGTACTTCCTCATCAGGGGACAGAAGATAGACAAATAAAGATTTAATTAATAATCTTTAATTAATAATTTTCTTTAACTTTTCTGACTATCAGGCATGTGATGACCAGGTTGCCACCACCTCCACTGACAGAGCCCCCTGCAGGAAGCATCATATAGACAGCATCCAGAACGTCTCCCACTCGCTCTGTTCCCTGTGGCCCAGCCAGTGTAGCCCACATACCAGCAAATACCAGTCTGCAGGAGCTGAATCCACCCAACCATCTGCGACTGGGAACCAAGTGCACAATGACGCAGATGCTACAAGTAGGAGAGAAATGTGATTGTAGTTGTTATTGTTGAGAGGGATATCAAATTAATACCTGAATAAAACATTTATATGCACGTTTTTCTCTTTGTCAGGAGTTACTTCCTCAAACAAAGAAGTGGTGCGCTATAAGAAGCTCCAGAGGCCAACCTCACTGCCCATCCAGCCGTTTGTTCTGCTCCCCGCAGAAAAACCACAGGCCCAAGCCCAGCACCTAGGGGGTCTCCTGGAGCAGTACATCAGTCAAAAGAGCAGCAGACCTGGTGGCTCCCAGAATGGTCTGAAGTTCAAGATGAAAAGAAGTCAGTGTTTATCTAAACTTCAGCCATCACCAGTGACAAATGACTGCCCCATCCTCCTGGAGGCTCCATCCAGCTCAGACACCTGCTCCACCTGCACACCGAGTCCACAATGCCTAAGCCGCAGACACACGTGGAGCCAGTTCAGTAAAAGCCAAGGCTTGGATCTGCAGAACTCCCAGCTGAAGCCCGTGGTGCAGATACAAGATAATACAAGCCCAAACAATGGCAAGCCTAAAAGTTTTTCCAGCTCAACCCCAAATCAATACAAACTTGTTAAGATTCCCACTTACCAGAATCTGATGAACCTCCCTACAGAGCCCAAATATTCCAATGTGTCCCTGACCAATGCCGCCTACTGTTCAACATCCTCTCAAACATCACCCACATCAGCCAAAATGGCTGAAAACTCAAATCAGCTTTATACGACCTCACAACCTCAGCTGAAGTTTCAACAGCATCAATCTGCTCCTGCAGCTGATATGGGCTTTTTGCACAGCAGAGTTAAAGCCACCCTCTCCACCGTGGCTCCTGTCTCATCTTTAAGCTCATTCCTCGCCTCGGCCACTTCACGCCTGCATCCCAAACAAATCCAGGGCACTGCTGGGCTCCATTTGAGGCCAAATCAGAGTCAACACAGCCAGACTGTCATCCCAAGTGACAGGCCGCCCATGGAGTTCTGCCAGTCGCCTGACATATCATATGAGTCAATGTCTATCAGTCATCTTCAGAGGAAAGGTGAGGGTCAGCTCAGGACTAAGCCACTAAATATACTTTAAATAACAGCTGGATACAATTTCTGGATCATAAATATAACTAGGCTCTTGTTCGGTTAATCTCTTTAGTGAAGAGCTGTTGAAAGCAGCAATAACATCTCAGTGCTGCAGCAGAGTCTTCAACACCCTGGAGGGGCTTCCTCTCAAACATGACCTATTTTTAACTCTCCCTGCACAGGATTGGTGGAGCTCTCTGAAGCATGTGCGACTACAGTCTCCCAACGAGTGATGCAGCACAGCTAATAACTGACATCACACCACTTGGGCTTCTGTGTGTAAAGTTAATTATATGCGTGTGAATGTTTTAGAGCATATACTGTATCCAGTGGTGGAGGCGTTAGCAGCAGCAATGAGTTGGTGTGGTGCAGCGCTGCAGGAGGCGTCAACATGCATAAAGAATTTACCGTGACATTTGCATGAGTTGGTCTGTGAGGGATGGGAAAAGAAAAGCAGGGCAGGGAGAGCAGCTGAAATGGAAAACGGACCGTTTCATCTTCAGTTACAGTTCAGATTTCCAATCTTGCAAAAATGAGAAGGAACCCCAAAAGCAGACTGTCATAATTATGTGCTCTGATTGTGTATAAGTGTTAAAAATCATATTTTTTGTCTATAATTTAAATTGTATTTTCTCATAAGTGGAAAAAATAGCTGCTTAAAAATGAATAGCCCGAGCATTTTCATCTGACCCAAGTCAGATTAATCCAGTGGCGCCTCTAGAAATGTTTTATTGGCGTGGCCACGTAAGGGACACACCAAAACCAGACGCCATGAATAGGCCTGTCACGATAACAAATTTTGCTGGGCGATTAATTGTCTCAGGAATTATTGCGATAAACGATAATATTGTTTGAAATTTGACAATAATTAGCAATTATTGTCAAATTTATGAAGAAATGTTGGTTAATTTGTTTTGAGTGTAGTACATTTTTTCAACCACTGGATGGCAGTATAAGACTGTTTTAACAGAACGATGGATAGTGAGGGAGCGAGCAGCGTGTCTCTAAGAAAAATGGGAGGGAGGCCCCTTGACCCTCTTTCCTTTTTTTCAGTTCTCAAAATGGCGGCCGCTCAGTGTAGTTTGAGCTCTTTAGCATAGCATTTTTCACACAAAGCTTTTAATTAAAAAAAATCTGTAAACAAGTTCTCAGCTTCTTTTTGCAGTGAAAAACAACTTTTTACACAAAGGCACGAGTTTCAACAGTGAATTTTGGAGCTTCGACAAGATGGAGTTTTTTTCCCCGAAGTTGGCTTGTTAGCTTAGCTCGTAGCTTAGCTGCTTTTAATGACCCCAAAACCAGATTTTGGACAGTTAAAATAGATTTTAAAGAGAAAGGGAGGGATCATTGAAGAGCACCGGAGTTGAGCCTTTTGTCATCCAGTGTCTTCAATATAGAGACACGAAGAAACGATAAAGCCGATAAATGAAAATGAGACAATAATTTTCATTTATCGTGCGATTAATTGATTTATTGTTTATCGCGACAGACCTAGCCATGAAAGAATTTAGAAAATTTTATTATGATGTTGCGAAATGACGAATTGCTCAGCTTCTTATTTTACTGGTAAATATACTGATTATGTGATGTACAGAGACCCGAACATTTAGCGTTGCAACATTATGTATCTTGACGAAAACACAGAATGCTATAAACTGCGCATTAGTCTTTTTGTCCATTTCCTTAAAAGTCAAATATATGTTTTAATTTTAATGAATATGAACATTTACTGGGAACAAGCTTTCTCAAGTTTATAGCCACCACTTGATCAAAATTATTTTAAAATTAGCTTGTTGCTGTGTAGTTTTGTGAACTTTTGATATAACTAAGAAATGCACTGTCACTCACTTTATCAAAATTTATATTTCTGAAATAATTTATGCATATAAAATTCTGAGATCCTGCATCCTAGTGTTGAGGACACTGGTTTTGGACCAGTTGTCCTTATTCAGAAGTACTAGATTTAGATGTTCTTTTAGTAGTTTTAGATCATCTTATGATGATGAAGCTGTTTGAGTCAAACATGTGTGATGTCATGCGATGTGTTGTGAATGACCCATCTCAATGTTTCCAGGTCTGCTGAGGTCTGTGAGCAGCGCTGTGGATTTGATCGTGGCTTATTTCGGCCGCAGCAGAGACCCAGAGGAAAAGGTATGAATCAGCAGAACCGAGCACCGAGAACAATGCGTCAGAGCACGAGGCGCGACATCGATATCAGAGCAAAGGTGTTAAATAACTGGAGTCACCGGGTCTTACAGGACAGAACAATATGTGCTGTTCTTTTCTCTGTGGCACAGATGCGTCTGGGCAACAGCTCCTGTAGTCCCTCTGTTGCTGATCTGGTCCTGGGACACCTGTGTCCTGCAATCCAGAACATTTTAGAGGATGGCCTGAGGGACCACAAGCTAGATTATGTGATCGGGCAGAGCCGCAATCATTCCTGGAAAGTGGTGGAGATTTCCACAAGAATAGGTACTCGCAGTTATGCTTTCATGATTCATGAAGCGAGAGGCGATATGGTTAATTTGTCTCCATGTCTGTCCAGGTCCAACCACCAGGATCCTTCATAGCCTGGTCTCAAAGATCAGGCATTGTTCTGAACTCAGCAGCCACAGTATGAGAGTGAGAGCCTTCATCATGGGCCTTCTGAAGTAAGAACAGCAGCTGCTTCATTTGTTAAAACACGAGAAGAAAATACAAATAAAACACATGCTTCTGTCGGGGTTTCTTCTCTTACAGCTTGAGGTCTTTGGAGTTCTGGCTCAGTCACCTTCAGAGTCAAACAGGTGAGCATAAAGACAATTTACTGCACTAACTTCACGATTCTTTTGCACATAGGCACTTTGGCAACTAAATGCATTGTAACAAGTAATTACTCTAAATTTATTTGTCATTCACATTGAGTTCCTCAGTCCGGCTCCTCATCTCCCACCTGTTCCTCTTACTCTGTCTCAGCTGCATCCACTTACCCTCATTTCCTCTCAATACTTACTCTCTGAGCTCTCTGTATTCCTCATAGACTTTGTTACTTTAGTATTTTCCAGCTGCCATGTCAGCTTTTAAAAATAATAATAATAAATTCAATTGTCCATCAAGTCCAGTCGTCTTCCTACATAGTAAAACTCTGACAATATTTGATAATGATAAATTGTATATAGCCACACTAGAGAAAAATCCATTATTGTGTTGGAATTAAACAGTTACAACCTTTTGCATAAACTTTTTTGTTTCACCGGGGCTCAACCCAACATGCCAGACAAATTATGATCTGCTATGCCATGAGTTTTAGTTTAGTTTTGTTATGGCCTTGGCGAGAGGTTCCGGACATCAAATCCCGGACGAGCCCCCAGTTTGTTATGGCCTGGTTCTAAAACCACAACAAATAAAGGGGAAGCAATGCATGGAATAACTTAAAATTATATTTATTTAACAAAAATCATGGCTGGCTGGAGAAGAGGGGTCAAGAAGGGTGAGAAATGAGAGCAAGTGGTGGATCTTATGTTGGATCTGAAGCTCTTCTGGAGACACTGGTCAGCTGCCTCCACTTCCAATCAACACCAATTAGGAGCTCTGAAACACAGACATGTTAGAAAGACCAAGAGGAAAGCCTTGGGCCATAACAGTTTGATGAAGCTCTGTCTGCTATAAAACAGTGATAATGTGGTTGAAAGGCCTGCTGAGGTGGGTTGTAAAAATTTGGAGTAAGACTATTGTTTTGGGAAATACATTTTAGACTATTAGCGCTACACTTTTGTATTTGTACTGTTTTTTGGATCTTACTGTGTACCGTTTCCACAGACGTGGTGACCACATACTACCACTCCTGGGGGTTCCTGTTCGTGTCGTTGGGCCAGTGTCAGCCCTTGTTTCAGGAGCTGCTGCTCCTTCTGCAGCCACTGTCTGTGCTGCCCTTCGACCTCAACTTGGTCCTGGAGACGCAGCTGTTGCGTCACAGACAGCTGTGCTCAATGGATCGGGACGCTTTCCCACCTCAGCCGTGCTCAGCTCCTCTAATGAGCAGATGGCCGAAGCAGCAAACTGACAGAAGGGCAGAAAACAGCTACAACAGGCAGAGCTTAAGCTGCTACAAGGAACAACATGGAGACGTCTGTGCCTGCAGAAGTCCAGTATCACCTCCTGCTTCAGAGTGTTTGTCCCACGAGTTTGATCCTGTGAATATCGGGGCGAATTCAGTGAACGGTACACAAAACCACACAGATACTTGGTTTCAGATCAGTATGGATGGCACGGAGGATGAGACAAAAAAACACTGTGGGACCCAAATCCCAGTGACTCCTGTTCAGACAGAGAGTTCCTGTCAGAGCAGCCGGCGCTGGGCCCGACTGTTCGGAGCAGCTTCTACCAGAGCAGAGAAAAGTTCTGGAGCACAGAACGAGAGGTAAGAACAGTGCAGATTTTTAGTCATGACCTGCGTTTTATGTGCTGAGTGAAAAAGTCTTTTCGTTGATTTGTATTTACCCTCAGGTGCAGATTACCATCTCAGTGGCTCCATTTGGACCGATCTCAGCTTGGACTGTTGGTCCAGTCCATCCGGTCGTTAAAGCTAGGAGGGGCTCAGACTTTAACGAGCTGCTGAAAAGTGAAGCCTCTTTAGACAATCGGCGGACTCTGGACTATTTACTATCGTAACAAAAAAGTCCTCAGTGCATGAAAACACATAAAAAGAGCTTAACCACAGTTTTGAGCTGACAGGACAGCACAAAAATACAAGATTAATGACCACCGGCTCATATTCAGGTTTTATAATGCACTAGTTCAGGGCTATTCAACAAAACTGCTCAGGGGGGCACAGTTTCTAAAAGCCAACAGCTCCGGGGCCAGACGATTTTTTTTTTTTTTTTTTTCATTTATCCTTTATTTATCCAGGTTAGTCTCATTGAGCCACGAGAACTCATTTTCAAGAGAGACCTGTTTAGGGAGCACATGGTGGGGGTTAAGGGCCTTGCTCATGGGCCCAGAGTGGGGCGAATGAGGGTGGGGGCAAGTGTGGGTGTTTCACCTACCCCACCCACAATTTTGATGTTGTCGGGGCCGGGGCGTGAACCGGCGATCTTCGGATCACAAGCTCACCTCTCTAACCTCTGCGCCACCACTCCCCACAAGTCGATTAAAGTCGTCATGTGAATAAACCAAGTTTTACAATGATCTGTTACCTTTTAAATGGTTTATTTTATTGCAATGAATCATAAATGCAATAAACAAAACCCTAACCTAGAACCTGAAAAAAAAATTATAATGAAATGGGCCGGATTGAAGTCACCCGCGGACCGGAAATGGCCCGCGGGCCTCCAGTTGAATAGCCCTGCACTAGTTTATATCAAATCATCAGAAACAGGTTAAATGGATAGTTCAGTTCTTTAAAAGAGGGGTTTTGTGTAAAGGTTCTGAACAATTAATATCTTACCTGTTGTGGATAACTTTTTAAATGACCCAAGTTTTAAAACAATAAAGTTTAATTCTAACCAAATTGACAAATTGAGACTAGTGGAAGCTTTGGTTTTGGCTGTTAGCTTTAGTACAATCAGAATTAAAGAGTAATTCTCCAAATTAAAGGTGCTCAAAAAGCTAGCTGCAGGTAAGATATAATTATCATGACCTTTTCGTGGACTCCACTTCAGAGAGTTCTAATTATCGCTTTCAACTCATAAAATCCTGAATAATGTGGTTTTAAATCATGTTTTAAACTCTTCATGCAGCTCAGAATGAGTCGAATCGAGCAATGGGTCTGACCTGCAGCAGGTTTTCATTATACAATAACACAGCAGATCTTGAATTTCCATGCAACAGCTTTAAAAAAAACAAGAGACAACAATTATAATGAATAAGAATAATCTTGTTCGGGTGCTCTCTTCTGCAGATGCTTGTCATAAAATGAGATTTTTCTGCTGTTCTTGTGCTGAAAGACAATCTGTTCCTCACAATGTCTGCTCATTTGTTTCATGGGCCAAAACTTTTACTGGTGCCAAATAATACTGTAACACACACACACACACACACACACCAACCTCTCTAAACTTTTACATTTGAATTCACTTTCTTTTGTAAGCATCTCTACCAGCATGGATTCACTGTAGGTGCATGAAGGCGCCCCTGTGTTTTACTTGACCTCTGAACTCTCCTACCGTTGTATGGTGCAAGCCGTCTGGTGGACATTCAAAGATGTTCTGCAGTCACGTGAAGTCTGTGAAACTTGATTTTCTTTCTTTTAGTTGTTCCTCTGAATGCCTGTGGACAATCAGCGTCTGTCAATGAAAACTTTTTCCTCACCTGTTTCTGGAGAAAATGATTAAAAGTTTATCTAAACGTGAACCTTGTCCTGTGGGATGGTGGGTAACAACACGTCTGAGCCACTTCTGTGATCGGGAGGCGTTATTAACACAGATGTGTGTAAAAATGATGACGCCACACCTCTGTCAGGTGAGGTAGTGAGCGGGGGAGGTGTCATACTGTTCTCCAGGTCTGGGCGCTGTCAGTTCTTCAAGTGACTGCTGTTCAAAGTCAATCAGCGGTGGTGGTGGTGGTGGGATAACCTTAGCCAGACAGGAAGTGGGACTTCGGCACATGTCCTGTGAATCCTGTGAAAAGACATTATAGAGGTTTGTTTACAAGTCTACAGAATCCATCCATCCATCCATTTTCTTTACCCGCTTCTCTTTTCTGGGTCACAGGGAGGTGGTGCCCATCTCCAGCACTCTGAGAGGCGGAGTTCACCGTGGACGGGGACACTTGAAGACAAATGACGTTCTCACTCATATCTAAGGATAATTTAGAGTTGCGGATGATATGAACCTAACATGCATGTTTCTGTTCAGTGGGAGGAAACTGGAAACACAGAAACGCCTCCACCAGGGAGCAAACCTGCTGTGACGACCTGTGTTCAGATTGACATGCTAAATACAGAAATATTCAGGTCTGTGGCTGAAAAAAGGCAGCTAAACCATAAATAGTTCTTGTGACATTAGCATATTGCTACTTTTACCTTTTAGCTAACTTTTTTTTTTTTTTACAGGGGTGTCAAACTCACCTACAAAAGGGAGGAAAAATTAAAACCTTTTTCAAACTAAGTGCCAGTTTCAGAATCTACATGAACTCAAATCACATACCCGACATCTTTCTTGGTTGCAGGTTCCTCAACAAGAGTTTGATTGGGCTCATTTGACGTTCTCTGTTGCACTTTTGACATCATAAATAAAGATTACTGAAAAAATTAAAGTGATAAAAACATTTTTTATTTAACATGTCTTCGGGGCCAGATAAGATGTCAACGAGGACCACATTTGGCCCACGGACCTTGAGTTTGACACATGCTAGCATTCAGTGACGGTGCAAGCCTCCATGGGGCCCTAAGTGAAATTTGGTTTGGGGCCCTCTAGTTCTGCTAATAATGTGGATTATTGATCAGATCATTCACCCACCTAACATAAGCTCATTGCAAGGCCCCGGGGCCCTAAGCAGCTGCTTAGTTTGCTTATGCCTTGGGCCGGCCCTGCTAGCATTTTCTCCTTTTGGATTTTAGCCACAGTTCTGCTTAGCTTTTAAAAATTAGTTTCAGCTTCTTCAGCAATTTTTTTACAGTTATTCAGCGTTCACTGCGTTTGAGAAAAAAAAGTTATTTTTTTAAATTCTCTCTGTGTGCAGCTTTCTACAGCTAAAGGCAGTCCTCTCTTTTGGACATGATGTACTTCTGGGGATCGTCCTCATCCATGTGATATGGTTTCCCAGGGATGAAGGTGTTTAAGGACTCGTAGCAGGGCACCGTGCTGCAGATCGCTTTCACAGGTGGTTTTGGCCTCTGGGCCAAAAGTCAACACAGAAACATTAAGATCACTTCAAATTAAATTAAATATATTACTTAACATATCTGAGTTTAAGTTTTTAAAGAAATAAACACAACTGTAACGATGAGACTTTGACGCCGTCGTACTTTGAACAGAAACAGAACCAGAAACAGATGCATGAAGCCGAAGCGTTTGTGAATAAGAGGCAGAAGCAAAGTTTACATCGATGTGTTGACTGCCGACGAGAGGCAGATTCAATGATCTCCTTCGAATCCTCTCCTGTGTCTCCTGATGAAACTCAGTCAGCGCTTTTTGGCACATCGTGGAGTAGGTGCAGCCAATGTACTCCTCACATCTTGGAATGAAACCTAATAAGGAAATAGGAAATAGGAAAGAGAAAGGAACAAAAAAAACAAACATCTTCCATTTTGCCACACTGCACGAAATACTGTAATTCTTTTCAACATTAAAACCTTTAAAACTTTGAAAGGTAGCCGGTGATGTGCATTCCTTCTAAAGGAATTATGGATGTTTCATTTCCAACATTTAAGTATTGTATTATGTAACCTCGTTACCGCTTCTATTTGCCGTACAGCATCGCTCTTTCAGCCAACTGAGAACTTTTACTTAATAATTTAGCAGCTTGGACACACGTCATTGGTCTCATGTTCACAGTTCGGCTTCAGTTCAGACTATGGGAAACTCACTGGTTATACCTGTGTATCCTGGTACTATTCTGTAGGAATCATTGCCGAGGATGGATGGAAGGGAAGTGCTGGTCTCTGCTGAGAGGACCTGAAGACGGCCTGAGTGTGTCTCTTTCAGCAACTGGCTTGTGAGCTTTCCGTACGACTTGCCTATATGAAACTTCAGCTGTGGGCAGTACCCCGTGTACCTAAAACAAAAACATGCGTTAAAACAACAAACATACAAACAAATCAAGAAGCTAAAATGACCTGGTGTCTGTTCTGGTGGAAATTTTCCAGTGTAAATGTTTAATGTTGAGCCAGTTTGGGTTATTTCAGCAGGACTTCTGGACAAACAGGTAACCAACAAGTTCATTGTCATTAAAAATGAGAATTGGAGTCGTTTTGTTGAGAAAAGACGCAGGAACAATTTGGAAGGAGAGTCTCGACACTGAAGAAGAAACTGAGCTCTGGCAGCTTCCTACAAGCTGGTTGAGCTCAACTTTGTGCCAAGAAGGGTGAGTAACTTCCAACGGAAAGGTGCAGCAAGTTTGTTGGATAAGTCCCAAAAAAGACAAGAAAAGGTTACAATAAAAACACTGTCTTTTATTTTGAAGCCATTTACAAAAATAAAATATTTTGTTGCTTTGTGCTGGTGAAGAATTGAGTAAAAACCAACAAAGTCCATGCTCAATAATCCAGGTATACAATACAACAATTTTCAGTCAGGTCATCTGGACAGTTTCTTTTTTTTTTTTTTTTGTGCTGAAACGCTTCACCTTCCATCCAGACGGCTTCATCAGTCAAGGAAACGCACAACACAAAACTGATTCTTCTCCCAGAACGGGTTAACCCCAAATAGTTTAACTGAAAAAAATTAAACTAAGAGCTCATGCAACCTGTTAGTGCTCAGAATGTGTTGGGCATTAGTTTGCTACTACCAAACCAAGCTTTAAGGTTAAATGTGTAAAACTGACTCAGCTGCAGTCATTTTTTTGCTTTTTAAGGTCATTGGGCTGTGGCAGCCACCTTGAATCAGGATGACCCCAATTATTAATAAGTTATAGATGTGCATCCATTGATTACTTCCTGCAAGTTTCGTTGATATTCATCCAGTGGTTCATAAGAAATTTTGTTAACAGACACATGCTCACTGTATGTAGACAACGGCAACATGATCGCCCACATATGGAAAGCCTAACTGCCTCCAGAGCATCCTGATGCAGCCTACCTGTTTACAATATAAAGTTATCAGGTTTAATTTAAATAAAATAAAAACACTCGAGTTGTCTTTTTACTCACCCTGGGATGACATGGAGAACATTTTTGCTGAATTTCGAGCTACGTTCGTCCATGTCGGAGCAGCTGACAGCTCGTCCCCCTGAGCACTTTGTGGCTGCTACAGAGATTCAAATGCAAACAAATGTGATGCAGTTTGGTGTCAATAGAACTTGTAAAATTAATTTAACCAAAAGTAAACTTGTGAAGTGTTCCAACTGATTGGACGCGCAACACTGACCCCTGGCGGACATATTTGGAACAGCTAGCCCAAACTTTAAATATAAATTGCAAAAAGTCAAAATACTACGTTTTTTTAAAAACAAAAATAATGATTAAGAGTTCATATTTTTGTTTTCTTCTTAAAATATTTAAAATATATTTGTCATTGCCTGCTTTAAAAAACTACTTCCCTTTTACTCTTTGTGAAAACAGTTCTCATATGGAAAGTGCTCAACATTCACACATTTTAAATATCATTACTTTAAAAATTATTATCATTAATAGTAATCATATATTGACAGACATACCTGTAAAGAGGTAACGTGTGAGAGAACAACCTGGTTCAACCTGCCGTCCACCAATCAGAGGACGACTTGTTTCGTCTCCAGTTTCCTCCGGCCACATGTGGACCTGTCCTCAGGCAAGATTCACTTACAAGATTCACCTTTCACTTTAAAACAAAAAAGGCTTCAAAACACCACAGCAGGCCTAATTGCAGGACTTGATCAACATTAAAACTCAATATACAATACAATCAAAAACACGAGTACAAGAAAACCAAGCGATTAAAACAGTTTATCACATATAATCAGATCTAACAATAAAATAAGTGCATCATGTAGTGTATAGGACCCCAACAATGGTCTCTGTTGGTCAGGAAATGCCAAATAGAAGATCTTAAGGTAATCTACAGAAATAAAATTAAGTAATGCACTGATTATATTGTGAAGTCTCAAGAAATTTGAGCCTCAGGATTTTTTATTTTATTTAATTCAACCTTTATTTTATACAGGATATTCTCATTGAGCCTCGAGGATTCATTTACAAGAGAGCCCTGTTTTAAACAAAGAACACAGATGAGGTACAGACAACAATAGACAATCATATAAAAGCATATAAAATGAAAAGTAAATAGAAGAAATTATATAAAAATGAAACAAAAACAGCTACATTATTAAGCGATGTAAAATACTAAAAACAGGAACATGTCTGCGTTGATTTTTGAAATAAACTTAACAGTTGTTTAAAATCCATTAGAGAAGTCAAAGTTGACAACTTCAGGTCTTTTTGCAAGATGTTCCAGGTTACAGGAGCGGAGTAGGAGAAGGCCTTTTTGCCAAGTTCGGTTCGCACTGAGGGGAAACTGCAGGTAATTATGTCCTGAGTGTGCACGCTGTAGCTGCACTCACTGAGTGACATGTAGGAGGAGATATATAAAGGCAACAGATAGAGAAGTGATTTAAAGATGAAAATGTACCAGTGTGAGAGTCTGTGTGAAGTTAATGATGTCTAGTTAACAAGTGAATACAGGGTGCAATAATGGGTACGGTAGTTACAGCTGGTTATGAATAGCGCAGCGTCCAACATCAACAATGTGCTTGCAGGAGCATTCAAGTAAATATTGTCACCGTAATCAATGGAGGGAAGGAAAGTAGCAGTTACAAGGTGTTTCCTAGAGTTCAGAGTTAGACAGGATCTATTTCTAAAAAAGAAACCCAGTTTTACTTTCAGTTTCTTTGCCAAGTTTTTGACATGAGGCTTAAGAGAGATGCAAGTCGACACCCAAATATTTGTAAGAACCAACAAACTCACTAGGAACACCATTCAAAGATAAAATAGAAGGAAGGACTGCTGGTACCATCTTCTTGTTTGCAAACAACATCCCTTTGGTTTTATTAGCATTTAGCACCAGTTTGAGACGGAACAAATCTGACTGGATGATGTTGAATGCAGACTGTAAAAGCTGGAAAACCTTAGCAAATGTTCTAGCTCAACAATAAAAAACTGTGTCGTCTGCATAGAAATGTAGGGATGCATCGGGTCATCTGGCTTACATTACTTATGTAGATTGTGAAGAGGGTGGGTCCTAAGACTGAACCTTGTGGTACGCCATTGTTAACGGTTAGATAGCTGGAAGAAGTACCATTATGTTGAACACATTGCCTCTGATCTGAGAGATAATTAGAGAGCCAACCAATGGTGTGATCCGAGAAACCAATTTCTGAGAGTTTATGACATAAGATGATATGGCCCACAGTGTCACAGCTTTAGACTGATCTAAATAAAGTGCAGCACAGTAGTCTTTACAATCCAATGCTTCAACAACATCATTAAAAACCTTCAGCGAAGCAGTCATTGTGCTGTGTTGTTTCCTGAAAATGATTCTTGTGTTTCTTAAGGTCAGCTGGTTGTGTGACTTCAAAGACAAACAGTTAATTATTTTCTGAGTTTCATTTAAAGCTGCCCACTGCTTCATGGGATACAATGGAGCTACATAGAAGGAATTATTGCAACTATTTTAACAGTGACCCATGTTGTGCAAACACTTGTTAAAAATGTATACCAATAAATCACAACTATCAGAGTCACCCATCAACTGTCTGAGATAATAAAGGCTGTTTGCTCTTTCAGACGTTTTTTTCTCTGGCTGTGCTTTCAGGCTTGAGTGGATGTGTGCGTCAGGTCGGATCAGATGACCCTGAGGTGCGTCTTCACCTGGAGAATGTAGGCAGGAGTGTCCGATCGACACATTCCTACAGTTTCAGATAAAAAAAAATCCTGCTTTGTTTGGTTTGCCGGTGTGATGAAACGGCTCACGCTGTTGCAACTTCTGCTAACACCTCAACATTGTAGAACCGCAGAAGAATTTCAACACATTACTCGTCTGCAAAGACATTGCCAAGTCAAACAATAAAAATAAATCATAAAATAATTAACAAAACCTATTTTATCTTGTATTGATGGTTAATGTGTCCTTAAATTAAAAACTGTAAGCAAACTTTGTGCTCAGATACCAACTACCACGTGTTGATGCCTACAGGAACAGCCGAAGTTACAGAAACTAGGTCGACAAAGGCAACGTCCGAGGAAAAGCCATTTAGGATGGAGAAGTCCAACAATCTTGATGTATTGATATGCAAATATGCTTTGGTTCCATCAAACAAGTGCTTAGTTCACACTGAGTGCATAGTCACATTTTAGAATAGCATATCAGTACATCTGAAAATCTAGCGGAGTAAACTGCACCATTTGATATAGCGTAGTTCAGGATAACCATTTTCATGTTTAAATTTAAAGTTTGCAATGAGGACCTTTATTGTAATGGAAACTGTTATTTTGTTTATCTCAGCTTGAGGGAAGAAGTATCTTTCTTGTAGTTTTGTCAGCATTTTTTAAACATGCAAATCACAGTCTATGTCGTCCAAATCTCTTATAGCTATAAATGCAAATTTGAGTTTTCTGATGGCACTCAAGTAGTTTCCTTATTTCTGGTATTTGGTGACAGGTAGATGCAGGTATGAACATGCAGCTCTGTGATATGATGTAAAGAGGCGTGGCAAAGGAAGAGAGGTGGATCAGAGAATAGTTTTCTTTTTTTTTTTTATCTCTACATCACCTCTTTACCTGAACAGGTTGTCTTAGCCTGTTCCTTTTTCTTTGTGGAGTTCAGCCGGTGAGGACAAACCTGGAACATTTCTGGAAATGAATCTATACAGGAGCTTTGGGAATCTCATGGAGACATGGGTGAATGAGGCCATAACGTCTCCACAGCCACAGCTGCTTCAGAACAACACCTTAGATGCTCTTGGACCTACCTCTGACATGGGAATCAACCCTCGATCAGAATCGGTGGACTCTGGTGTGGAGTTAGCCAGCTGTGGCACGCCGTGTCAGGTCTCATCCTCTTCTGCCTCAACAGAAACGGACTCACCTATGCTACAAAGTGAAGGACTCACTCCAGCACTGTCCCAGTCTCCTGTCCTCTCCTCTCCCGTGCCTTCGTCCTGCTCTTCCTTATCGTCCCCATGCCTCTGTTCCAGCACAGCCGAGGAAGAGTCCTCCACCGTGCACCTAAAGGTCGAACGAGCTCTTCGGAAGGCTGTCTCCAGGAACTGGAAGAGCATAGATGAGTCAGCCGTCCAGCAGCCTCGAGCATCTTTCCTGCCCAAACGGCACACATCAGAGTTAGTGAGGTGTCCAAGGTCGCAGAGCTTCGATACCAAGAGGAGGTTCGACCCGTCTGTACCTCTGAAACAAATGTCAGACATGGAGCAATGTATTTTGAGTTCTGATGAGCAAAAATCAAAGGTAAAACACATTAACTGTAGCCAGACTGTTTGAGTGTTTAGCTGCTTTGCAGAAGAGATAAAACCCAAAGCCCTGGATTTGTTTTCCCCACACTAGTTTTGGAATTACAGTTATCAGTGACTCACCGGACTCATGTACAGTCTTGCACAGTGCATGCTTGAAAATGTTGATGGGAAGTCTGGCAGAGTCTTTATTTAAGGGGATTGCAACACCTACTTGCAAAGAAGATCTTAAAGTCAGAGGCAGACATGTCATTAGCCATGATCGTTCATGCTCATGAATCCATCTTTTGGTTGGAATGGATCTGAAACCGGTCTGGCCAGGTGACGAACCTGAGAGGAATAGAGGCATGAGCGGGAAGCTAAAAGGTCAGCGGGGATTTTTCACAGATGTGAAAGAAAAAAAAACATGTCACGAACCAGACAGCAGAGAAATCCAGTCCTCATTTGGAACTTCTTTGGCTAGTGACGTAAACAACTGTCAGATACATCTCCCATCATGTGAAAGTTTAAAATCAGCTCATATTTTGTCAAATGAAGGCATTGCAGCAGAAGGATTAAGGGTTTGCATTGGAGTAGCTCTTTGTGTTTCAGCCCTCGGGTGTGCGTGTGTGCGCAAGGAGTCCTTGTTTTGTTATGGTCGGGGTTAAATAACTGTGAGCAATGCAACACGGAAATTATGACAAGTTATTGTTTCAAAAAGCTCCTTTAAAGTTGGAAACAATGAACTAAATAATCTTGATTTTCTAACCAAACAGGTTTCAATGTCGTTTAGAAAATTCATCTCAAGCCTAATTAAAGATGACAACTTAATGAGCTCCAAAAGTTACTTGCGTAAAACAATGTATCCTTATACTTGCTTTACATCACGTATTTCCCAACATAATTTGCCACTCTTTATTTATTTATTATTAAAGTTAGCAAGGGATCAAGTTCATTCATCATATAAAACATTGAATTTTATTTACAATGTAAATGTTGCTTGCTGACACACTAAATGCATTTGTCAAACACAAGGCGATGGCAGGTTTTTTTGTTTCCAAGTTTTTATCCTGGTAAAGGATAAAAGAAGTCTGAGATTGGCAGAAATTATTATTTTTTTTTAAGTAAATTAATGACATTTGAGGAATAAACACGTGAAGCTAATTTTAACGCTGTCCATTTTATAAATGGATGGACTGTACTTATATAGCACCTTTCTATATTATAAAAATATATATATAAAAAAAAAAAATATATATATATACACATGTATATATATATATATATATATATTATATACATATACATATATATTATATTACTACTATACTACTTAACTACTAAAAAAATCACTACTATATTCTATTATTATATATAAAGATATATTATAGAATATTATCAAAGCTCTTTACACCACGTGTCCTCATTTACTCATTCATACAGCACTCTACTAGATCTGTACAAAGACTAATCAGTGCTTTATCACATTCATACACTGATGGGACACATCGGAGGCAACGAGGGGTTCAGTGTCTTGCTCAGGGACATGTGACTGCTGGTGGAATCGAACCCCCAACTCTTGCATTGGAGAATGGCTGTTCTAACCACTCAGCCACAGCCGCCCCAACTTATGCAACATTTGGTGAAATAGTAAAGGCCGTGAGGTAACCAGATTAAAAGTCACCCTAGTAAACGTCTGCATCAATAGATTGATAACTGTATAGTTGTTTTCTTTTTTTGTTGTAATTTTTCTGTGTAAATAAAATAAAAACTTGATATAGAACTGGATCCTTTGAATATGTGTGGCCTAAAAGTTAATTAATCCAATCCAATTGAACTTTATACTGTTAAATATTTTTATTTTGAAAGGACTTAAAGAGCTTTGCGATGTTGTGACGAAAAATTACACAAACCGTTTTATACTAAACAGGGGCAGGCAGCTGTGGCTGAGTGGTTAGCGCAGTCGTCCTCCAATGTAAGAATTTGGTGTTTGATTCCACCAGCAGGCACATGCCTAAGTGTCCCTGGGCAAGACACTGAACCCCTCAATGCCCCTGATGTGTGTCCCATCAATGTATGAACATGATAAAGCACTGATTAGTCTTTGTACAGATCTAGTAGAGCGCTATACGAATGGGCAAATGAGGGACAGATTGTAGTGTAAAGTGCTTTGAGTATCTTGATAAGACAGAAAAGGTGCTATATAAGTACAGTCCATTGACCATTTACTATCATGTTATTGTCCCCGTTTTGCCTTTGGCAGTGAGCGATAACGTTTTGCTTGTGTCTGTGTTTGTTTGTTGGATTTTAGTGAAACTTTCAAAAGAAAAATATTGTTATATGTACATTAATTTAATTCAATTCAGTGTATTTACATAGTGCCACGTCACAACAGAAGTCATCTCGGGACACTGAACAGAAACATTCATATATAAAAATAATAATTTAACATGTTATCTGAGGAGCAGACTGCTTTGAATTTAACTTAATCGCAGAACTCTCGTCTTGAGCAAGCATGAAGGCGACAATGGAAAGGAAAAACTCCCTCATGAGGAAGAAACTGTCAGCAGAACCAGACTCAGGACAAGTGGCCATCTGCTTCGACCAGCTGGGTAACAGATACACAATGGCAGGTCAAAAATCACATGTTAAGATAGAAATAATATCAAATGAAAACTACAATTTTAACAGTTCATTTAAGTAAATGAGGTCAATTTGTCCTCTAGTAGTCTAAGCTGAAGAAAGCATAACAAGCCAACCCTAACTATAGGATTTATCAAAAAGGAAAGTCTTAAGCCCAGCCTTAAAACTGGACAATGTGTCAGCCTCACGGACAGAAACTGGAAGTTGGTTCCACAGGAGAGGAGCCTGATAACTGGAAGATCTTCCTCCCATTCTGCTTTTGGAAATTCTAGGAAGTGTGAGTAAGCCTGCAGTCTGAGAGCGAAGTGCTTTGTTGGGAAAATATGAAACGATAAGATCTAGGATTTAAGGTGGAGCTAGGTTGTTGAGAGCTTTGTAGGTTAGAAGTAAAATTTTGAATTCAGTTCATTACACAAAATGGGCGCAACTCAGCCATTTTTACAAAAATTGAATGTATTTGTGTTTGGTGTAGAGCCAGCTGAGAATAATCCTTAACATAATCTGAGTGATGTCTCCCAATATCATGAGATTGTGCATAATGTTATGCCTGCAAGGTTTGACTAAAACCACCATACCTCCATCACATCTCAACATAATGCATTCCCTCAAGAAACAAAAGGCATTTATTGTTACTTTAGATTTCCTTGAAGGCCTTCTACTATGTTTTGCATGGCATCTTTCCTTGGGTTTATAATGTTACATTTCCCCCCTTTGTGCTGATCTGTGCAGGGTCTTGATGTGAAGGGGAAGAAACTGAGTCCTGGGTTGTTCTACCTGGAGCAGGTGTGTCAAATGCTGGAAAAAGTCGCCAGAGAGCAGATGCGCAGCCAAGCATTTCAGATTGAAACCGATGCTCTCTGGGAACACGAAGAAACAGAGGTGAAACTTATTCAGTCTCACATGTCTAACAGCCTTAGAAGGAATTTAAGCATTTTGACACAACTACAGTTGATATCTGTGGCATGCATCAATCAAATCAGAAACAAGATGTCTTCATGCAAATTCATCAAAACTAAACTCCTTTCCATCTTGTGATGTTCTCAAAAGGCTCCTGAAACTTGTCAGACTGACTCAACAGCTGTGGAAGAAGACCAGTCATTTAGCCAACTGGTTGAACATACAGAACAGGATTCCAACCAACCTAGGCAGCAAAAAACCAGACACTTTCGGCAGAGATCAGCCTCAGACACAACTTTTGCAGCTCTGAATTTAAGTAAGTTATTTTCCTCCATCTATCTTTACCCACTTTTTCCTTTCCGGGTCATGGGGAGCTGGTGTTTATCTCCAGTAGTCATGGTGCGAGAGGCGGGGTACACTTTGGACAGGATGCAATCCATCACAAGGTCACATAGACAAACTCACTATCTCTCACACCTAGGGACAATTTAGTTACCAACCAACCTAACATGCATGTATTTGGTCTGTGGGAGGAAATCCACATTAGATGCCCTTCCTTAATACTATTTCATGTTAATATTTTGGCATGTTTGCTTTTGTTGGGGGATTTGACCGACTTGATTATGTGTTTTTGGTGCAGAAAAGCTGAACGCAAACCACAGAGGACAGCTGCTTAGTACGAATGACCTACTAGAGAGTGTAGAGGAAGATAGCAGAACAGCGGAGGTAATACGCATGGATGAACAACAATCCTTTGTTGTTCAAATAGAACAATAATCATGTCATGTCATTACGATTTACTTAGAAACTGAAATATTTGCAACTTTTCAGGAGACAACAAAGGAGAAGTCAAATAAGGCTGCTAGGAACTGGAGGGCAAAACTTGGGGCTTTGAGAAGAACGGAGTCTACTGTATCGGACACAAAGAGGTGAGAGTCTGTATTTATAACTCTGAAACCTCTAAGGAGTCAGTAATATTAATAAGATGCTCTGAGGAAATGCTGCTCCAGTGTGGCAGTCAGCAACAGAGGATGCAGTGGCCCAGTGCAAAGTAAAGGCTCTCGTGAGAGCTCATTTCAGTCTGTGCATCTGTGTCACTTCAACCTTATTTTTGTCTCCGTGAAGTTTTTGCTTGCATAGTGGCTCCAGTTTTTTAACATGACCTCCCTGCCTGATATTTTCTGTTTTCTATGAAGCCAGCAGATGCAGTCAACCATGAAAAACTCAACCCGCAGACGGCTGAGCCAAATATTCAGAAGAAATAAAGAAAATAAAGATCAACTTGTGTGAAAGGACAACAGCCTCTGTCTCCACATTTTAAAATTTAGTATTTTTAACAAGGAGAATGTTTTAGTGCTAATAGCCTTCCTATTGTCTCATGATGCATCAGTCTACCATGTTCATTTATTATTTACTCATCTATTTTTGTTTATATAGATATGAAAGCTGGTCGGTAGACGAATGTATTGGCCTGTTTCTATGTCACAAAGAATTCAAATGAACGAAAGTCCTCAGTAGGATCCTTTTTGTACAGTTTTTTATTGTTTCAAATATTTCAGATGTGTATATGTTCCTACATTGTCCATGTCAAATGACATAATGTAAATATAATTATCCTAGCGCTCCTATCCTTATTTGTGCTTTTGTTGGTAAGCTTATTCTGCACCAGAATCAGTATTTTCTTTAAATGTGCATTTTAATGAATGTTCTCAAGATGAGAATTAAAATAAAAAATGTTTATTTGTCAGGAATGCAATTCTTCATAACTTGTCCGTTCATTTTTCATTACATAAAAAAATTCTGCAGCATATTAAGCTTTTGGGTGGAGTTTGCATGTTCTCTCCGTGCATGCGTGGGTTTTCTCCGGGTACTCCGGTTTCCTCCCACAGACCAAAAACATGCATGTTAGGCTGATTGGTAACTCTAAATTGTCCCTAGGTGTGAGTGAGAGCGTGAATGGTTGTTTGTCTCTATGTGTCCCTGTGATGGACTTGAGACCTGTCCAGGGTGTACCCCGCCCCTAGCACAGTGATTGCTGGACATGGGCACCGGTGACCCCTGTGACCCAAAATGGAAGAAGCGGGTAAAAGGTAATTGATGGATGGATGATGTTTGCACCAACACATGATTTAGTTGCAGAATAGCTAGCTTGCAAGCAAGCTGTATTAGCAGCTAGTAGATAGTAGCCTCAATCACCTTGAGTCACAGTTAGTTTGAACCATAAACCGTGTAAAAGAAAACCCAGAACTCAAAGTATCAATGTAAGACTTGTACCTGACACAAAAGTCTCACGAGAAAGGAAAAATAAAACATATTTGAGATATTAAATCCAGGGATTAATGCAGAAAAACATCTGTTGACTGAATTTTTTTTACAGAGGTTACCAATCTTCAACTCCTTGTTGCTAAAACACCATGTAGAATTGAACTTCGCAGATATTTGTGATGAACTATCCTGAACGGACTCTCACAGAGAGAACTTTGACAGTTTGGGGAGAATTTTTTTTAAATTAAACACATCTTTGCGTTAGTCTGGGGCAAATAAATATTCATCTTTTATTGTTAATATTGTTTAATTATAAGAACTATAGCAGCAGACACAGTCTGTCTCATTGTGAGGCTACTGTGACCACCACACAGGAAAGGTAGCAATATTTACCACAACGTGCAGCGTAGCTGTGACCTTTCTCCAGACTGAAAAAAATAATATGAATTTATATTTTGGTTTAGAAAAAGCAAATACACAAATACAATCCGGCTATAAACTGGATTAATACTTTAAAATTGCATGTTAAAAAGTCTAATACGTCAACTGAACAGTATTTTAGTGTCTAAACGTGTATTTCAGCAGTGGTAGAATGTTCCACACTAACTCATACAAACATATTCTTTGTTCTACATTTAATGTCCTGATCACTAGGTGCAGAATAGTATGCAGTTAAAGAAAAAATCATGTTGCAAGGCACAGAATAGGTACATTACTGCCTAGTAACAAAGTTCATGTGCAATCATCCAGGTATCAAATCCAATAATTGTCCAGATAACTTGACTGAGAATTACTGGATTACTGCCTAGTATAAATTCTGAGACTATAACATGTAAAGAGGATTTGATAAAAAAAAAAAAAAATAGCAACGAAAATGAAACATTTCTGAATATTATATTTTTTTCTGAGTTATTTCAGAAAATGCAAGCAATAATTATTTACCTAAAAATACTGACTTTGGTTTTTCAAGAAATGCTGTGACTTAAACTTTGAATATATCGCTTCAGCAAAACATAAAAGTACTTTGACAATCTAACAGCTTAATGTAATTTTCAAGATATAATCGTCTAGAACCCCAAAATAGAGGACACACGGAAGCATTTGTATCATTTATTTAATCTTTATTCACCTAGGTTGGGGGGGAGACACCTCCCCTGGCATTCCCATATAAAGAGATGTCATGACAAACACATCCAACCAAACGAGACGGTGAATAGGTTTCCAGTCCATACATAAAATACATATACTTTATACTGAACCATCAGCATTCATTAGTCCCACACAGCATCCATCTGTGCTATTAAATATATAGAGATAACATCTATAGGGGGTTATTTACTGTGAGATAAGGGGCTTGGCAAAATGGGTTTAGCTTATAGATGAGTAGAGTCGTGGGGGTGAGGAGTAATACTCTCACCTCCTCCCTCTTGTCTACATGATGCCACAGGAGGACAACGGGTTGGCAATCTGGCAGGTGCAGGCTGACTGGCAGTATTGACGCACAGTCTGGTAGCAGCTGCGGTCGGCATCCCCGCCCCACTGCACAGGCCCGTTGGGGTCAGAGGGCAAGCGGCTCAGAATGCTGGTGTTGATGGCCAGAGCAGCCAGGCCATAGTCCGTGAACAGCACCGTCTCTCGCCGGCACGTGGGGCAAGAGATGAACTTGTACTTGGGACAGGATTCGTAGAGGATTTGCAGGCACTCCTCGCATACCGAGTGCAGGCAGGAGAGGATGCGTGGACGCTTCCCGGCGAAGTTGTACGTGTGGCCACAGGTGGGGCATTCAAGGGGCTCACAAGGCATGACGGGCCCAGAAGATGAGGAGGAGGTGGATGAGGAGGTGGAGGATGAGCGCAACACGTATTGATTGACTATGACGTCTTCCATCTTGTAGTGGAACTGGTGGTAGCAGATTTCATTGGCACTGGGTTTGCGCTGAGCCAGGAAGCTCTGCTCTCTGCATATTAAGGGGGTCGGAGGGGACACCATCGGTCTGGGAGATGGTGCTATGTCCAGTGTAATGTCGCTGCAGGCCTGGTTGACAATGATTTCACCTTCACCGCCTCCATCCCATGCCACTCTGGGAGCCGGGGCATAGCGTGGCTGGGTGACGGGCACAGGGCACTCTCGGGGAAACTTCTCGGACTGGATGATCTTGACAGTGTCCATGGGGATGGCCATCGGCTGGCGCCTGAGGCAGGACATTTGCTCGGTTTAGTTGCTTTTACAGTGAGGGGCTGTAGCTCTGATTGGCGCTGGATACCCCTGCTTGGTTAGTTCAAGGGGAGGAGGCTCAAACTTCTTCTTGGAAGTCAACCATTAGATGGAACATGGGGTCGAATGGTTGCTTCCATGTTTCCTTCAAAGATTTTCTCTCGTTGGCACTGTTGTTAGTCTTTTAGTCTAGAACAGTTAAATTATATAGACCAGTGTACTGTATCAGATCAGTGTTTACTATGAAGTTTTTTTGTTGCTTTATTGTACCTTTGATGAAGTTCCTGTGCTGCCTCTGACTGATAGTTACAAATCACACAGAAGTTTGTAGTATTTTAACACTAAGTTATGTTCTTACTTTAAACGGTATAAGTTTCATGTGCACCCAAATATTTACAATTCACAAACAGTACAGAAAGGTGGATTGTTGCATTTACAAAGTGTGGTGGGTTGATTACAGGCAGTTCAGACTAGTCCAAAAGGTACTATCTTGAGATTAGATCTTGTTTCCTAGTAAAGGAAACTAAATATTTGCCAAAACACTCAATGAAATTCCTGCTTATAGCTTTAGATGTGTTCTATCATGACTCTGGGGTGTGAGAGAAAAAAAAAACTTAAGACGTTCTGTCTGCTCTTGGTCCAGTGTGGTCAGGAAACCTAGTTTGACTCCCTTTTCTTGGCTTCTTGATAAAAAGAAGGGAGGAGGACTTTTATTTTTGGGAGGTGTCCTATAATACTCCAGAGAGCTGTTGGAGTAATTCCATGAAACTTGAAGGCTCCTTAAATTCTTCAGAGGTGGGAGTGAAGTATTTTCCTATAGACTTTCAGGCAGTCCTCACAACAAAACAGACAGAGTGATGAGAGTGAGAAGGATTCCTGGGTGTTGTGTCTTCTACTTCTTTTAGTTTGTCAGACCAACTGTGTTTGCAGATTTCTTTGGTCACCTGTAAAATGAAAGAAAAAAGTTAGTAATGGTAAATTTTTAATAAAAAAAAAAATAAGGAAGTAAATAGATGCATCACATTTTCAGTCTTTGCGTTACAATGTTTTCTTTAGGTGAATGAGTGATTGGAATTCACTCAGCTCTATCTTTAAATCAGTTTCTTTGTATCTGAAGGTAAAAGTTGCCAAGGCAGTTTCCTTGGGAGGGGCGGGAAAGTTTGTCCCATGTCCGTATTTGCATCTTGGCCTTGTCTCACCTGTGTCTTTTAAAAGACAGAAATATTTCCATGTTGCTGCTAGCTCTAGCTGTCATAAAAAAGTGCTACAGGTCATAAACACAGCACACCCAATGTTCATCTGCAGAATGGAGGGTGTTGTTCGTTTCAGGTTGATTGAGGTTAATTAATAATATAATTATTAAAACTGGAGCATGTATGAGTAAATGACTCATTTCTGTGTCAAGAATGTAGAGTGTGAGAAGCAGAGCTTAAATGAAGACGCATAGGAGGCAGTAACAGGTACAAACAAGACAATACCTTCACCAAGGCAAAGAATGAACAGACAAGCATGCAAGATGCATGAAAGTAAAAGGGGGAGAGGAAAAGCAGGAAGTATTAATTTGTATTGGGAGGGTGATTACCGGTAGTTAGTAATCATGTGTGTGATTACTAATGGTGGTAAGTCAGGAGACAAAACAAAGACAGTTGAGCGTATCCAGTAGCAAAAAACAAAACTACAACCAAATAACCAGAGTTGCTTTCAAAAAATACATATACAATTATTTTTAATGCATAACTAGTATATAATTTATCTACTAAATCATGGTGCTGTTGTGTGAATCTCAAAGTCCTTTTTAATGTACATACAGTAAATTAACAAAATAGAGAAAAATATGTATAACTTTTAAATATTTGGTCTAGTAAAACTTTGCACTCTAAGCTCATGGTGTCCTGCGCTGATGGGATCCAAGGTTACCAAAGGCTGAATTAAATTTGACCAGATCTCTGTGTGCGAGCAGAGGCTCCTTTTATAACAGGATGTAATTCTGACTGAAACTGGTGTTCAAGCAAAGCAGAATAATCCCCAAAATAATACATAGACTCATGTCAAAATTATTGCATAATATGATATGTATTTACAAATAGGCCTGTCACGATAACAAATTTTGCTGGGCGATTAATTGTCTCAGAAATTATTGCGATAAACGATAAAATTGTTTGAAATTTGACAATAATTAGCAATTTTGTCAAATTTAAGAAGAAATGTTGGTTAATTTGTTTTGAGTGTAGTACCTTTTTTTGAACACCGGACGGCAGGATAAGACTGTTTGAACCAAAGGATGGATAGTGAGGGGAGCTAGCAGCATATCTCTTTAAGAAAAATGAGAGGAAGACCCCTTGATGTGACATGGGCTGTCTCTCCTTCCTGTTTTTCGGTTCTCAAAATGGCGGACGCTCGGTGTGGTTTGAGCATTTTTCACACAATTTTTTTAAATAAAAATCAGTAAACAAGTTCTCAGCTTCTTTTTTCAGAGAAAAACAACTTTTATATGAAGGCACAGGTTTCAATTGTGAATTTTGGAGCTTTGACAAGACGGAGGCTTTTTCCCCGAGGTCAGCTTGTTAGCTTAGCTCGTAGCTTAGCTTTTCAACTCAGCTGCTTTTAACAATCCAAAAACGCAATTTTGGACAGTTAAAATGGATTTTAAAGGAAAAAGAGAAAGGGAGGGTCAGTGAAGAGCACCGGAGTTGAGCTTTTTGTCATCCAGTTTCTTCAGAAAGAGAGAAACGATAAAGCTGATAAATGAAAATGAGGTCGATAATTTTCATTTATCATGCAATTAATTGAGTTATTGTTTATTACGACAGGCCTGTGGTGGCACAGAGGTTGGGGGAGTGGTGGCGCAGAGGCTAGAGAAGATGGACTTGTGGTTGGAAAGTTGCAGGTTCAACTCCCAATACCGTCAACATCAAAATGTGGGTGGAAAAGGTGAAACACACACCTGCCTCCACCCTCATTCGCCCTACTCTGGGCCCTGAGCAAGGCCCTAACCCCCACCATCTGCTCCCAAAAACTGGTCTCTCTTGAAAATGAGTTCTTGTGACTCAATGAGACTACCTGTATAAATAAAGGATAAATGAAATGAAAAACCTTAAAATTAATTGTATTTGCCTTCTACCTTTCATTTTGCTATTTGCTGATTTTGTGAGCCCTACAAAATGCTAACATGAACAGATGCTATACTATACAAAGGAAAATGTGCTGTAAGCTTACTACATAAAAGGAGTAAATGTGAATTTCTTCACTATGTAGAAAGAGCAGGTAATTGTGACACAGCTGCGGTTCTGCTTTTTTCCAACACTTGTCTTTTTGTGAACCGTGTTGGTTTCTGACTGTCAGGCAAAGGAAGAGGTCACAATCTGCATTGTGGGTTTGTGTCATACTGCGTGTGGGCTAGTGGAAAACAGAAAAGCAAGCCTGCAAATTAACATTTTAACTTGGCCAAAACAACACCAAAGAAGGGAGGATGACACATTTTTCATTATGTGTTTGGCTGTCGACAGTTGAGTCACTGAAGAGACAAAAAACATAAAAACTGAAGCAGAGGAGGGAGCCCACAGTGACGAATTAACACAAAGATGGGGGGTGGGGGTTGATGACAGAAGAGAAGGCTCCTATTTATGGTTTGTTTAGCTGTGCACTTCTTCGTGGTTTCTGGCCCCAGAAGAGTCACCCTGAATAAGAACGATGCACCTTTCGGAACAGACGGAAACACTTTGTAATCTCCGAGGGATGCTGACCAAGTATTCAGATTTTTCCTCATTACTCTGTTGACATATTTGTTCACTCAGGCACACAGAGCCGTTAGCAAGCACCACGCAAAATCTCTCCAATCACTCGCCATCACACCAAATGTGTCCAACTAGCTCCTCCGTGCTGCGGCACTTCATCCAATGTAGACTGTTTCATTCTCGTCCTCTTAGCACACATGGTTTATGAACACAAACAGCCTTTATACGCGTCAGAAAACTGGGTTGCATGAATAAGAGAAGACTGCAATTTTCTGAGGAACTACCATTTTGTGGATAAATAATGAAAGGAACAGTCATAGATGGGTTTGGGGTTTGCAGCTTTTTTGTAAAAATTGCATTTTAGGTAAAAAATAATGTATTTAAATTTTAAATATAAAATAAAAAAAAAAGATATTTTGACAAGTTTACCAAACATAGGAACCATATGCATTCATGAAAGGTGGGTGATAGAGTAAGCGCCTGTGCTTGTTTGTAACAATAGCAAATTATCTCATTAATCAGTGGACAGATTTCAATTAAATTCTCATAAAGTTATCACCAGATGTACATCTACAACGAATTAACTTTTGGAGTCAACTCAGATCAAGATGGTTGCCACAGTTAATCAGCTTCAGCAAACAAGAATGGTTTTAACCCAGTCGATTTTACAGATATTGAGCTCAATTTGGGTGTAGTAGTAGCTGAGAGTCATCCCTAACACATTCTTTGAGTACAAACAAATTGCATGAGCCTTGTTTTAAACTTTGGCATGCAAAGCAGTGGACCATTTGCATTTTTAAAAGAAATGTTAGGCTTTTTATTAAGTATAACATTAGGGCCAGTACTACTTAAAAAAAAAAAGTTATTCAGGTTTTTTAATAATTTATCTGTGATGTTAATGTAAATGTTTTAGCTTCTACATTTAAGTATTGATTGCAGGTCAGTTTTTGGTTTATTTTCACAATCGTTTAATCAGACATTCAGGGATTTTAAGTCTTATTTTGGATTTTACCTTAAGAAATTATTTATGCCTGGGTTTTGAACATAACATTCTAAACTAAATCAATAAACTATATTTATTTGTTCTGGACCAACAAAGGTCAAAACCCTTATACATTTTTTTAATTAAGTTTTTTTTTTATCAACATTACAAAAATGTGTCTGCCAGGGGTATATTAACAAGTAGGTAATAATATTCAAGTATAAAATAGAACAAGATAATTATAAAAAAGTACAGAAGGTAAAAAAAAATCTAAAAAGATACAAAGCAATCTATTTACAGGTTATATATATTAAGGTTTTCTATAATTGAGTTGGTTTTCATTGCCTTTTTGTTTGCAAGTCCTTTAATAGTAGTGCTGTAAAGTTCCTTGCTGAAGTGGAAGTGAAATTATGCTTGGCTTGGAGTGTGACCACTTTTTCTTGTGGATACAGAATTTTTCCAGAAGTAGAAGTTGGGTGAAGTAAATCAAGTCTTTATCCATATCCTTATCGTCGAAGCATAATATAATGTCTTCCTCTGTACGTTGAATTATTTGTCCAGTTTTCTGACGTATGAGTTGTTGTACATCTGTCCAGAATGCCATTTTATGGTTACATTGATAGAATAAATGAGATATTGTTTCCATGTGTAGTTCACAAAATGTACACAAATAGTCAATATCAAGTTTAAATCTTTCCAGTTTTTTTTTTTTTTTTAACAGGGTATGCATTATGATTATATATGAAACTTCTTTAACTTTATTTGTTATGCAATTTTTTTCCCCCCATTTAACCAAACTTATTTCAATTAATTTCTCCAAATGTAGAAGACCAAAAAAATCTACCGGGAGGTAAAGTAATCTTCTGCAGACATGATCTTATAAGTTTGTTGGAGTGTGTTTTTTTTTTTTGTAATCTCCATTCCACCTAGCATTATGGGACTTCTAAGTTGGTCTCTGGATAAATGATCAGATTTTGCTCCTTTGAAGAGTTGCATCATGGAGTTTGGTAGAGCATCAAAAGCTACAGCATACTCTTTAGTTGTTGCAGGTATGTTAAATCTGGTAAGACCCTTGTACATGTTGGTTTGTATGAAACAAAACATAACTTACATGGCTATAAAAACAAAATACAAAATAAAGTACTGTAATTGATGTTGGCCATCTGATTGTCAGGATGTGTTACTTTGACACAAAGCACCCATTTGTTCAAGAACTCACCCCTACCACAGCACAAATACTCTCACTTGTTGCACTAACATCAGTAAATGTCAAAGACATGACCCGCCCTCCAAACTATTCTGATCCTTTAAAAAAAAAAAAAAACCTTTCATTGGATGATCAGAATAAGCCCTGCTCTGTGAGCTCAAACAGCAAACAAACCTTTACCAGATACTAAAAGTGGGGATGCACAATATTATCGGCATGGTATCGGACGATATTATCGATAAGAGTTAAATATCGGACATCGGCCATTCCATCAAAATAACTCACCGATATAAAAGGTGCTGTTGTTTTTATATATATATTTACTGTATATGGTGTTACATCATTTTCAGCCCCCTTTTTGGCATCTGCATTTGGTAACAAACTGACAAATACCATGCAGAATAATGTAGTATTTTTATTCCACAGCAGAGAAAGCTATTGTAAGTAGGTATAGGGGGAAAAATATTGGTATTGGTATCGGTCAAAAATCCAATATCATGCATCCCTAACTAAAAGATTATTGGCAAAGCTCACATTGATAAAGTAACAAGACGATATGAGGTCTATGATTCTGAAAGTGATGACTCAGCAAAAATCTTCCACTTGTTTGGTGTCAGCACCATGAAACGGGCTGATGACTGATGGAGGATGCCTGCTGATGGGTCAGCCTCCTGATAATCAACGGAGACCTCTTTGGTTATATAAGAAGCTCATCTACTGCCCAGCCTCCATTACAGGCCAGCATAAACTGCCGCAGCTTTCCACTGTTTTAACACTGTGTTTGTGTGTGTGTGTACACAGCCATGGACCATCTTCCAGAAGAGGAATTATTCCCTTAATGAAATCATGGCAGGCATTTGACCTCATCAAGGCAGAGGAGGGAGAGGAGAGCTGACCACAGGGATGTCAGAGGAGTCAGCCTCAGCAGCAAATTCCTTGTGCAATTAAACACACACAAAGCTGCATTCACCTTTTAGAGAAACACACATATCCCAGAACATTCTTACCCTCACACAGCTCTCCATCATGTGCAGGGCACTACACTGCCACATTCCTGTGGACATAAACAATCTGATAAACAGGAGAAGAGGAGAAAAACACACCTGCAGATCCACAAACCTGAAACACTCCTATCTCTCATGTATTCCTTTGTGTATTTCATTCAGCTCGACATCGCGAGTCCACCTGTGCAGATCAGATGAAGGGCACTCTGTTCTGAATGAGTCACAGAGACAGCGTGTAAGAATCTGTCTGTCTTGATCCATTCATCTTTCCTTACTGGTGTCCAAACACAACACAACAACCGTGGAAAAAGCGGAGCAGGTTTGTGCCCCACATGTCAGCAGCATGTCAAGTATGCAATGTTGAGATTTTAATTTACATTCATTCGAGTGGTTAAAAAAAAAGGTAACATTTCTTCAAAAATTGTGTTTTGATTATGTACTCAGCCTAGACATGATGCAAGGGGGCAAATCCCCAGATTTACTGTACATTGTCCTGTCTGCAGATTTTATCTGGAAGGTAAACAGCAAAAACAAAATTGATACAAACGTGTTTTCCTTCGGTGTTATTTATATCGTCACGTATGCAGGGAAATATATTATTGCTGCCTCATGTTTTGGTTTTCATCCTTGGCAGAAAGTGCTCAGCGGGTGTGCAGGGAGGTGTCGGATTAAGTAACACAGCCTGCCTTCATTCATGGCAGACATCGGCCATTTTGCTTCACAATTCATTTCAGCCAATTGCTCTTTGTTCCCGCGTAGTACCCGAACCAATATGGCAGAGCTGCGCTTGGGCTGGGAAAAAATAATAATGAAAGCGTTAACAGCCAGCGTCGCTCGTCCCTGACACGGACCCTCATAGAAGATTTATGAGGTAAAAGCTCAGCAAGTGCCCATCTCTTCAGCAACAGCGGCGGACTAATTGATTGATTAAAGCTACATGATTAAGGCTGTCTCCGCTCAGAGTTGTTTATGCTGCTATCTCAAGATATACACAGCAGCTGAAACAAAATGGGGGTGTGAGGTTTATGTTGGATGGAGCAGCTTCAGCGCACTGCTTTGCACAAATGGGAGGGGTGCCTTTTTGGAAACGGCAGTTATGCAATCGCAGCGTGGAGCGCCCTCACTGCAGCGCCGATGCACGGCCAATACGAAGATGCCTCAGTGGTGCTGACAACTACAGAACAGGCCATTCTTGTCCTGTCTCCGTTACCCCCCCCACCTCCCTCCTTCCCCCTGCCTCCGCTGTCTTTCCGTGCAGAGCTCTGTCAAATGTCATGATGACAGGAAACCCTGAAGACACCACATGAGGAGGGTCTACTCTTCGTGTCCATTTGCAGCTGTGCTTCTGTGGGCTTGAATACGTTTCCGTTCATATGTGTGCATGTGAGAGAGACATGTCTCTCCATGATGCAACAACCATGCAATTCATACATTTAGTAAAATGAAGCGTAAACACCCATTTTTGCCACTGCTATGTTCACACAAAATGATAGGGGTTATATGAAAGCCATTTAAATGAACTTAAGATCATTCAGACATAAAAACATGAGAATCCTCACCATAAAACAGATGAAGAGCCTTGTCTCACCTGTCTGCCTATGCGCTTGTCCCATTCCAGTCTTTTCTTGCTTCCTGCTCGTTCATGCTTCAGACATTAGTTTGTCCTTTGATGGTGAACAGATTGCTCCTTCTTCCAGCGGAGGTCTCGTTAAAGGAGGATGCTCTCTCCGGTGAGTTTCTTTTATTCTAGGAGCATCAACAACATGGAGATGTAAGATGGAGGCAGCTGTAAGGTGGATACATCAGGCTGCTTTTGTCGACCTCCGCACCTTCTTTTTCCCTTCGCCTCTGCTCTCTTACGCCTTCTTGTTTAATCTTCCAACCTTTTAACGTTGACTTATGATTGGCCGTGTCCCTCCTGCATCTTTTTCTCCATCATCCCTTTAGTCACCTTTTCACAAATGGCTTGGCTGACAATGAGCAGTGACCTGAACCTCTGTTTTAGTCTCCTCCTGTCTGTTCTTTCTTCTTCTTGTCTTCAGGTGAACCTCAGTCTTCTCCTTCTCTCCGTCTTCTCAGCTGTCATCCCTCAGCTGCCGTTCATTACTGCTCCTTCTCCACCACCATCTGCTCCGCTCAGTGCGCCTCACACTCACACATGCGCAGTCTTCTCACCCATACACACACTGTCTCTGCTCTGCTTCTGGTTCAGGCTTTGGTGTGTGTGTCTCACTTCGCCTGCCTGCTCCCCACCCCTCTCTATCGCTCACACAGACCACATTTCTTTCTTTTTTTTTCCTCCCGTTCGCTGCAGCATTCACTGCAGTGCCTCTGCAGGCGAGATCACGTTTGCTCGTTGCCAGAGAAAATATTTCAGCCAATCAGGGCAGCACGCTCACCCTCCAACCCCCATCTGAACACACAAACACAAGCCTTCTGAGATGCAAAAGCACCAAAAAGGCTATGAATCATACTTTACATGCAGACGTATGGTTCAGCAGGAAGCACAGGAAGCTTGCGAAAACAGAGCCCATCTTGAGAGTGCAGCAGTGCACCTGAAATGGGAATATTTACATATCTCATAAATAACCTTTTAACAAAAACCGATTCATCAATTTCATCTCAGTCCTCATGTTTCTCATATATTTGCAGAAATACCTTCATCTATTTAAGACCCTGCAGCTAAATGGCAACCAGAGGCATTTATAATTTTACTTTACAATGTAGGTTATTTTACATAAAAACTTGAATGCAGCATCCTGCACTGCTACCACTGAACTACACGCAGGAAGGTTGCATAACCTTAATCCATTTGGTGTCTGCTTAGGCTTTCATACAGACCAATAAATAATCCTCCGATTAAAAAAAAAAGGTTTAAAACAGTCAACTGAGCATCATAAAGGTACTGTTTAGCGGGGTTGCTTCAGATGTTAGTGCAATTAATTATTTTTACACTTTTTTTTTTTTTTTGCTGTTTAGGGAAGAGTATCCACCTAACTCATTATTGCTGTCACAAGCTGAAGCTTTCTCAAACTACATTGGGTGTGGATTTCTTGCTATTACTTCCATGCTGCATCCTGTTTTGGGTAACTGGACTTTCATTATCAGCATTATGTGAAAGTACAGCACTTTCCTGTAAGCAGCATCAAGTTACCAAAGGTGCTACTGTAATGTTTAAAGCAATGCTTAAAGTAATATTTTATTTCAAAGTCACCCTTATTAGACCTTATTATAAATATGTTAATAGACCTGTTCTTGTGTTGGCGCCCCTATATTGGATCTGGTTTCCTTTGGTTGAAATATAAAATGTTTGTAACCACTGTGCGTTCACCGAGTAATTACTGTGTTTAATTTTTGTTGCAACCTCAAATACTGTATCTACCACTTTAGTCATGGACCCTTCTTCTACATATTGGTCTTCAACCAAATCAGAAGATGCTGATACCTCCTTTGCCTCCCCCCTCTGCATCACTAGAAGTCAGGTGAGGAAGCAGCTGGAGAGACTGAACCGGAATAAGGCTGCAAGTCCAGATGGGGTCAGTCCCAGAGTCCTGAAGGTCTGTGCAGAGCAACTCTGTGGGTTTCTGCAGCACCTCTTCAACCTTAGCCTGACCCAGGAGAAGGTTCCAGTGTTGTGGAAAACATCCTGCCTTGTTCCAGTGCCAAAGAAAACTCACCCATCAGTCCTCAATGACTATAGACCTGTTGCCCTGACATCCCACATCATGAAGGTCCTAGAGAGACGTCTGCTGACCCACCTGACTAAACAAACAAGCACATATCAGGACCCACTGCAGTTTGCTTATCGGCGTGGACTTGGAGTTGAAGATGCCATCATACACCTGCTTCAGCAAACTCACTGTCATCTAGAAAAGGCAGATAGCACTGTGAGAGTCATGTTCTTTGATTTCTCCAGTGCATTTAACACAATCCAGCCTGATTTGCTTTGTCAGAAACTTCAGAAGACTCAGGTGGAGGCCTCAACAATTGTCTGGATCAAAGACTACCTGACGGACAGACCACAGTTTGTGAGACTGAAGGGTTGTGTGTCTAACCAGGTGGTCAGTAGCTCAGGAGCACCACAGGGGACTGTACTCTCACCATTCCTTTTCACTCTGTACACCTCAGATTTCCAGTACAAAACAGACTCCTGTCATCTGCAGAAATATTCTGATGACTCTGCAGTGGTCGGGTGTATCAGAGATGGACAAGAAGCTGAGTACAGGGAACTGGTGGACCACTGTGTGGCATGGTGTGGAAACAATCATTTCATCTTGAATGTGAACAAAACAAAGGAGATGATTGTAGATTTCAGGAGAATCAGGAACAGGTCCAACCCTATTTCCATCATGGGAGAAGAAGTGGAGGTGGTGGAGAAGTATAAATACCTTGGAGTTCACCTGGACAACAGACTGGACTGGGAATGCAACAGTGAAGCCATCTACAAGAAGGGACAGAGCAGACTGTACTTCTTGAGGAAGATGAAGTCCTTCAACGTTTGCAGCAAGATGCTGCATATCTTCTATAAGTCTGTTGTAGAGAGCACTATCTCTTCTGCCATCATCTGCTGGGGGAGCAGCACCAGAGCAAGTGACTTAAAAAAAGATCAACAAGCTCATAAAGAAGGCTGGTTCAGTTCTGGAGACTCCTCTAGAACCTTTGGAGATGATTGTTCAAAGAAGGATTCTTCATAAAACAAAGAACATTATAGACAACCCTCAGCACCCTCTTCATCAGACTGTCATCCAACAACAGAGTGTCTTCAGTCAGAGGCTTCTTCGAATCCATTGTAGGACAGAGCGCTACAAGAGATCCTTCCTGCCCACAGCCGTCAGCATCTAGAACAACTCTTTAATGAAGCCAGATGATGAGTTACCCAACTTATAATTTCCCTCTGGGATTAATAAAGTATTTTTGAATTGAATTGAATTGAACAGAAATAAAGCACAGCAAAGCTTCATAATTGTAAAGGTAGGTTGAATCTTAGTTATAATGTTGTTGTTACATAGGAAAAATAGCAAATGTTGCAGTTTTTCTCCTGTACTTGCACCTGCACCTGTTTCTGGAAATATGTTGTTCTGCGTGCGCTTAAAACATGAGGGAAATTGACAAGATGAGGACAAAAGAAGAAATATCAAAGCTAAAACATTACTATTCATCTAATGAGCAGAATTTGAATGTCATGTCTGTGAAGAGGAGGAAAATAATTCAGCAAATATTTAATACAGGGCCCCTATCATAGATCATCCTTTAGTTGTTCATCTACTGTATGTTTCATTCAACAAATAACTCATGAGAAATCATATTGTTTGTGCTAAAAATAATAAGTCATACTGTGTCAACTTTGATATTGTTTGAGCATCATTAAAATAAACAAATTTGGATAAATGTGGTTTGTAACAAACTGCTTTAAATACCCATTTTAAAATAGAAAAAAAAAGTTTTGTAAGCTCAATCATCCAGGTAGATAACAACAAAAAAGGTTAATTGTGTCATCTGGACCAGCTTCTTTAAACGCTTCGTTGGATGGGTGCATTTGCACGTGTAAAAGCTTATACATTTGATATTCCAACAGGAGGTTGGCTTGAAACACAACAGTGAAGGATACCAATGGGACAGATCTGGTTGGCAGGCCACAGACTGAGGAAGTCCTCTGGATGGGGGACAAAATGTTTCACTTAAACAAACTGATTCAGATGACACAATTTAACCTTTTTTGTCATTTTAAAATTGGTTATTTTATCTGAACCCCCCCCCCCCCACACACACACACACACACACACACACACACACATACACATGAAAACAGCTATCTGAGAAAAAAAAACAACCGTGTGTGTGTGTGTGTGTGTGTAGTATCTAACGATGCATTAAACACACAATGTAATAAATATTTAAATTAAAAGCATTTGCATTTTAAAAATTCTCTGAAGCTGCAATTTATGTATTATATATTATATATATTCATTATGTTTTTACCTTGTGTTTACATTATAACATGCTAACTACTGCTACAACTAGATACATTTGCTAGTTTTTTATTTTTCTGGATAATATTTTGTGTTAATAAAAGCTTCTTTTTTTTTGTCTCAAAAACCTCAAGAAAAACTGTAAAATTGCTACATAAAGAAACTTACCTGGTGTTAATTGCGTCCTTACGCTCACCTGGTTGGTGTTATCAACGCCTCGTGACGTGATGACCAAATGTTAATTGGCAAGCCAACCTAAAGCTAAAGTTAGCCTTACGCTATTTAGCTTTGGGGAAAAAGGCCATTTATTGATTTGCAATGTATAATTTTTACATACAAACATGTTATAAGTAGTAAACGTGGGGCTATTAAATGGTTGCATTTTTATTATGCAAATGGCGTTATTAGTTTTGTTTCTTTTAATGAGTACTTTATTCAAAACTTCACTCATCTACTGTATTTATTTAGTGTAGTAATGCTTCTTGGCCGATAGGGGGTGCTGGTGTCTCAGCTCTCAGTCAGTGACTACTGTTTTGTCCAAGTAGTGAACAATTTTACTGTCGTTGTTATTTGTTAACCACTAAAGTAAATCCCATTATGAAACATGATACTCTGCAATAAATAGTCACCACATTATGTGAGAACTTTAACAGGTGTGTGATTAATATATAAATATTGCTGTAGAACAGAATCTATTTTTGATGTAAACAGGTGAAAATCCAATTTATGTGTCAGGTTTTGTTATAAATTAGGACAATAAGACGCAGACTTACAAGGACTTGATGAAAGGAAGGCTTAATATAAAAAAAAAATCTGGCAACTGTCAGGGCAGCAGCTTATGCAAAAAGAAAATTGATATGTAAATAAATGAATAAATAAAAAAGCTGACATGACAGCAAATACCAAAGTAGCCAAAAAACACGAGGGAGTAGGGAAAAACACAGGCAAACACGCATAATGACAGATTAAGGATGGAATGAGACCTGAGAGATTAAATGGACGGATGAGACAAATGATGACGGATGAGATTAATTACAAACAAGAAATAAACTACTGGTAATCTAATAAACTGTACTGTTAAATAATACCCATCATCCATCCATCCATCCATCCATGTGATATAAGTAACAGGGAAATTGCCATTTTTGAGATAATGGATGGATGGAGTAGACGTTCCTCAGGTAGAAGAGTTCAAATATCTGGATCTTGTTTGTGAATTATGGTAGGATAGAGCGGGAGATAGATCGACAGATTGGGGCCTCGTCTTCAGTAATGAGGGTGTTGCTTCAGTCAGTCATGGTGAAGAAAGGCTGTGTCAAAAAGCAAAGTTCTCGATTTACTGGTCTGTCTACGTTCTACCCATGAGGTTTGGATCATGACAGACAGAACGTGATGCTGGATACAAGTGACTGCAATGGGCTTCCTTTGCAGGGTGGCTGCTCAGTCTTAGAGATGGGGTGAGGAGCTTCGTCATCCGGACGAAGCTCGGAGTAGACCCGCTGCTCCTCCGCATCGAAAGGAGTCAGTTGAGGTTGTTCGAGCATCTGATTAGAATGCCTCTTGGATGTTTCCCTTTAGAAGTTTTCCAGGCACATCCCACTGGTAGGAGGCCACGAGGAATACCCAGAAGTCACTGGAGTGACTGTGTATCTTCTCTGTCCTGGAAACATCTCAGGGCCCCTCAGAACGAGCTGAAAAGTATCACTGGAGAGATGGATGTTCTGGTTTCTTTCCTGGACCTGTTGCCTTTGCGACTTAACTACAAATACGTTGTAAAAGATGGAGATGGACATATCTTTTTTGAGCTATAGAAAAAAGCTGGAGTATCTGGAGAAACCCTCAACATTTCAGTATGAACATCCAAATTCAACATTAAAGTAGGTTCAAATGCAGGAACTTTCTTAAACAAACTGTCTTCCATTAAAATTATCTTACAGCTCTTATATGATCACATCCATGCTGATAGAAACAAATCTATACTAGTTTTACATGTATTCACCTTCCCCTCAAGAAAGGTTTTATTTTGTTGCAGTTTTTACCAGTGATACACGTTTACGTTTTTATCATTTTCATTCCTTTGCCACACCTGACCCTGAAAAACCAGTCAGCTTTTTTTTCCTGTAGTTATTGTGATTATGACACTACTTCCTGCTATAAATTTTTTTTTTTTTGAAAGAGGAAATAGTTGAGGCATATCTTTTAAATTCAGGAAATTTACCGCAAAAAAACTCATACAAACAAATTAAGCATTAATTTGACTGAAACATAGCTTCAAACAGTGGACCTTTTTATGGCTCTTTGTTTGTAGCCAAAAGACACAACGTCCCATCTGAATGCTGACATAAGGCTAATTAAAGCTGAGTCACCCGACAGATTAGGAAACTTCTCAAACTTATCATTCGAATAGAAATAAAATTAATTGCAGCTGCACGAGTATTAGGTGGGTGTTGAAGAGATAAAATCAAACAGTCAAGGATGAAATAAAACATTTAACACCGACATAGATGCTGATGTAATTCAACTAGTGCACATAAACCAATAATAAGTGAATGTGAGGGACGGGTTAATCTGTTGGGCAGTTAAAAAGCAGGCATTCATTCATTTATTTAGAGAATAAAAGTATAATTTACTCCAATCGGATCACATCTGAGCAGAATTTTATTAAAGTGCACTGAAGAAAGTAATGTTCTGTTTCACATGATTATAACCACTAGACGGACACAGTTCAAACAAAGAGAGCGTCTGAGAGCTTCGAGTAATTCACACCCCTCTTCCCTGAGACGCTTGTATTTATTAACACCTAAAACAACACAGACGGTAAGGGGCCTGATTGTGAGAAGTGACAGTGCTCATGGACTTTGAACACACATAACGAGAAAACACAGTTGAAGTTATACGAGGTAGCACACACACATTCTGAAGTTTACAACCTTTATCAGTTAAATATTACATGTCTGCAGCACGGTGGCACAACTGGTAGAGCTGCTGCCTCTCAGCGAGCAGGTCTTTGGTTCAAACCCCGGTCCAGGGGCCTTTCTGGGTGGAGTTTGCATGTTCTCTCCGTACATGGGTGGGTTTTCTCCGGGTACTCCAGTTTCCTCCCACAGACCAAAAACATGCATGTTAGGCTGATTGATAACTCTAAAATTGTCCCTAGGTGTGAGTGAGAGAGTGAATGGTTGTTTGTCTCGTTTGTCTCTATGTGTCCCTGTGATGGACTGGAGACCCATCCAGGGTGTACCCCGCCCCTCGCACAGTGATTGCTGGACATGGGCACCAGCGACCCCCGTGACCCAAAATGGAATAAGCGGGTAAAGAAAATGGATGGATGGATATTACATGTCTCCCACTGATATCTGTGCCTGGTTTCATTTCTTGTTCTCTTTAATGCAAGGCAGCATCACGGTAAATTATTATTAATTTTTTGTCACTTCTATGTAAATTTAATGAAAGTAGAGAAGCATTTATATTTCTAATATTAGGTAAGATCTTGAATTGAACGTGCCTTTATTGTTAAAATTAAGCAATTGCACTTTAATGTTCAATAAAATCTTAAATTTCTAGTTTGACTGTGCTTTATTCATAATACACTTCTTATTATATTTCTGTTCATTAACAAAAGGACACAAACGTTCAAAGACAAGGTGAAAATTCTCAGTTATCTGGGAATGTATTGCAAAAATAATGTGCAAATGTCAGAAAAAAGCATGAGTATTTACACACGCATTCAACAAGCTTGATGTGTTACTATATTACAGCGTGGGTTACTGTTTTACTCCAGGGGGGCAAATACCAGGAAAAGTTAAATAAAAAAGGGAAATTTTGAGGGGAGAAATACATTTTATGCCCTGATGAGATCAGTAGTCATTGCACAATACAGCAGGAATGCTACAGTGAAGTGGTGTGAACGAGATTTATCTTCTTTCAGAACCTTGAGGGATGTTTGTGGTTGTTTTTAAAAATTCTGATTTAAATACCCAAGAAATTAGAGTCCGAGTTTCTCTAACCGAAGTATCCATGGAAGAAGACAGCCACACACAGGAGAATGATGGCGTTGATGTTGACAACGTTCCTCCACAGAGGTTTTTCAGACGTGTCGGTGAGCTGCTTCTTCAGCTCGGCCTGCTCTTCTGGACTCAGTTCTGGGGCCTTTTTCTGATCCAGTCCACAGAAGCACATGACTGCTTTCTTGCAGAAGCCCGGTTCCTCCTCATTTTCTGTAATGCAGAGTTGCAGATAAAGAAAGTTTGATTTTAAACAAAGATGAACCATACATAAGCGAAAAGAAAAAATAGTTTCAGCTATAAGTATTTGTATTCATTATTCACTGTTTGGCTACAAAAAGCAATAATGAAAGTACAAATCTGTTTCTTCTTCTTACCTTCTATTTCCATTTCAGAGTTGTTCTCATTAATCCAGTCATCCGGTTCGATGTCTATTCTCTCCTCTGTACGGTTCCTCAGACTCCAGCACAATCTATACAGCTATAAAAAAAATAAAGAATATTCAGCTCATGCTAATTTAAAACAGCCCAGCTCAAATTATTCATTTTAAGTGTTTCATTTATATGCAATTTCAAAGTGCAGATTCTGAAACAAAAATGTTGGGGGCCTGATCGCTAAAAACTGAGCCTTGTGGGTCATTTTGGGTTAAATCAGATCTGGACTTTTTTCTATTTGCCTCATAAATATTTTGGCTTTGGATTTATGCCACACCCAGTTTAATCATGATCCAATTTCTAGATGGAAAACATGGAGGTTTTTCTCTTTGTTGTGCTCAGCCACCGATTTTTTATAAAATTTGAACAAGCACAATATATTTTATAGAGCCTATTCACAGCAAAAGGACAATACACATAAAGCAAACAGAGCAATAAAACCTGAGAGCAAAATATGACGCTAACGACATTGAATGCATGTGAAAGATTTGCAGATGATAGAGATTGAAACCGAGTTCAAACTCGGAAACTCTGACATTTAAATTGAAATGGACGCATCGTGACAAAAACCTATAAAACACATGAATAATTGTCATAAATCTTTAGTCGATGACTTCAAAGTCTTAAGACTTTGTGTTAACAGTCAATAAGTAAGGGTTTCTCTTGACAACTGGAAACCTGAAATTAAAACCTACAAATTTTATACAATATTTTATTTAAATGTCTCTAATGGAGATTTTGTTGAAGTGATTTAGACACAGCAGTCATGTTCAAAAGTATAAAAGAAAGTAGGACAGATGCACTAGTGAGATCAAAATAGATGATTAGTCAGGAAAAACTAAACAAAGACTTTTCTCTAAAGTCAGTTACTGATGTTAACATTTGAATAACTAATATATATAAAATGTGAGGTTATTACGAGTTTTGATCAAAATAATCTGAGATACATTTTGTACCTCAGATTATTTTCCATTGAAAAAAAACACTATGTGTTGAAAATAACACAAATAAAAGTAAAACTAGTGTGTTAAGTTTGGAAAAAGTGCATCTGCTTCAGTGCCTCTTTCCTGTTTGGTCCCACAGGGTTCGATTCTTGGATCCCTTTTGTTTACATTCTATCTGCTCCCTCTAGGGTCTAGCCTGAGGAAGCACGGTCTTTCATTTCCTTGTTATGCTGATGAATGTCAGATTTATCTGCCCTTAAAACCTAACAGTTCTTGCTCGATTCACCCTCTGTTGAAATGTGTTGATGACATCAAGGCGTGGATGGTTTCAAATTTTTTTTTTATTTTAATGATCAGAAAACTGAAGTCATTGTGTTTAGCCCTAGTGCTACCACGTTCTCTGATCCTGTAAATCTTGACTCTCTTCAGCCATATATTAAGCAGTCTGTTACAAATCTCAGGATGGTTTGACTTTAAGTTTAATAAACAGATTAACTCTGTTCTACAAAACACTTCTTCCAGTTAAGGCAGATAGCTAAGCTTAAATCCATGTTGACCAGATGTGACCTTGAAATAAAAGTCCATGCATTCGTTACAACCCAGCTGAACTACTGTAACACACTTATGTTGGGGGTCACTCAGGTGTCACTTCATGTCTCCAGCTCGTCCAAAATGCTGCAGCTCTGCTATTAACAGGAACTTGTAGGTTTGAGCACATTTCACCAGTTCTGTCCTCCCTTCACTGGCTCCCTGTGCGTGTCAGAATTGATTTTAAAATTCTCTTATTGACTTTTAAGTGAATTAATAGCCTTGCACCCTCATACCTCTCTGACCTATTTCAACCATATGTTCCTTCTCGGGCACTGAGATCATCAGACCAGCTACTTTTGGTTGTAACAAAAACCATCAGAAGAGATCGGGCTTTTTCAGTCATGGGCCTTAAACTTTGGAGCAATCTGCCCCTCAAGTTTAGACCGTTCACTTCACTCCTTGTTTTTAAATCTTTCCCAAAAACACATCTGTATTCACTAACATTTAACACAGTGTAATTTTATGTACTATTTCATTGTTTTCACATTGTTTTTTTGTGTGTTTTATGTTTTTATTTTTCATGCATTTTGATCTTATTAATAAGCACTTTGGTAACAGCTGCTGTTTTAAAAGTGCTTTATAAATAAATTTGACTTTAAAAATTATAACTTTTACTATAGTGCAAAGAATTCAAAGAACACTTTTCCAATAACTGAATAAAATATCTACTGGAAAACCAATGTGGTTGTGCACAAGACAATTACAGGAACATCCTGTGGATATTAAAATAAAAGGTATAGGTGGGCTAACAAGGGGTTGGTTTTCTGTCAGATTTGTTTTTACTCCATCAGCAGAAATTGTGAACTTAATGTTCACTTTCTGTTGAATGAAGTTGTCATAGGAGTGTCCTCAAGTCAACTATTACTGATTTGGGAAGTCAAAAATTAACTCAGCCTTATCTCACACATACATGCTTGTCATCGATAGGTTTGGTCACTAGAGAAACTCCAAGTATGATGATGCAGGAGACGACAAACAGGATCATTCCGAAGTAAAGGTAGTGGACTCCACAGATGATGGTGGGACAGTCACTGGGGCTCACACAGCTGCCTGTTCCATAAACAAACTCCGTAATCATCCGGGACAGTCCTATTAACAGGCCGATTGTGAGCCCAAAAAAGGCACCCTGAATTAAAAAAGAAGAAGAAGAAAAAATGTTTAAATAACTTGTATCTTGCTGGTGTTTGCAACAAATCAGTTCATGTTATTGGGAATTGACAAACTGCAACATGAAACATGTAAAACTTGTTCAGCAACTTAACTCTGACCTGTGATTCATTCAGATATAAAAAGGCTGCATAACGTTAAGAACCAGTTTTGTGAAGACACACTGCAGACAATTTAGCAAACAGCCTGCTTTAATGTGGATGTTTAGGCATGTTTTTTTACTAGCAGTCCATTACAAATGCACACATTATTTTAATTAAATATGAGAAGAAAATACTAAAAATAACATTTTGACTGAAATATAAAATGTATTTTACATAATGAGGTGATTCCTTAAAGAAGTGACTCGTGAAACCAGTATACAGTGTATAAATAAATGGAGGATGGTGTGTCTAACAAGTCCCAATGTAGGTATTAATTGTCCTATTTTTTAAACATAGCTTTCTTATATTGACATTCTGCTGCTTATAGTTAATAGGCTTAACCGTTCTTTTGTCCTCCACTTTCTTAAATTTTTAAGGGTACATGGAACAGAATATGGGTGGAAAAGCAGCCACAATCCAAAGAAAAACTACCAGGCTTTCAGTAAACCAGATAAACTACTGATCAAGATCACTTTAAAAGATTCCAGGAAAGTTTGGCCCCTTGGAAACAAAGTATTAAGACATAATGGGTGGCTTCAAGCTTTTCAGAATCAGAATAAGAATAAGCTTTATTATTGTTCCGAGATACAGCGAGAATATGACCGTGCAGTCGTCCGAAAGATGGACGGCGTGCACGTAGCTGCTGCTCTTTGAGCGCGCGGCCTCTTATCCTTTTCAGAATACTTTTTAGATATAAAAAGGGACAAAGCCATGAGGAGAGGATAGTGGCATTACAAAAAAGATCTCTTTACACCTTGTCCTAACAGGACATGATTTAAGACATCAAAAAACTCTGCCAGCAAGCACATTTATGAACATGTTACATATGTACTTGATGGCAAGGTGGTCCATGAATCACTTCCAGATAGTCCATTGTCCTGATAAGATGACGTTCAGCAGGCACAGTTCTGATAAGGCTCCACAGAAGTTCTGATAAGCCTCCACAGAAGTTTGGCCGGGGGGGGGGGGTTAGATTGATAGAACAAGCTTTTCCTTAGTTTACACATTTCCCTGGAGAAATTGATATGTCCGCCTGTTTTCGAGGCCAACCGGGGGACTCAGATTCAGATAAGCCACAACTGTTGATTTTTTTTCAGGCATACTATTTTTCTTGTCAGCCTTGAGTCTTTCAAGATCCGAAACGGCCAGATTATGGTGCATTCTACTGGTCTGTGCTTACAAGCTCCTACAAGGTTGTTTCATGCTGACGAGTCTCAAAGCCACAGGTGGCCTGCGATTCTCACAAATCACTTCCATCTTACAGCTTAGCTCATAAATCAGCTGATTTTGAGTCCTCAAAGCACAAACCAAACAAGCAGGCAGCCTGACGAGGGCCAAATTAGCTGCAGGTGTCTTCTTTGTATGTTGATAGACCAGGAACCAGCCAATTTCCAACAAGCAGGAAACCTGCTATCATAAATCCAATTGTATATGTCTTCGGCGTCCTCCTGAGATTCTCAGCAGAACATGAGTGCTCTCCAGAACCCTGTTACTTTGTTGAAAAGATTTTGTCGATTGCGCCGAGAGTCCACTTGGTCAGACCCATAACAGTAGTTTTCATTTCGGATGTTGTGTACAATAGGAGTTCCGATACACTGACAGAGAGCAAAAAAGCAGGAGGAGAGCAAGAGAGGGAAGAGAATGTGTCCGCCTTGTACCAGAGCGAGTGAGGGAAAAAAATTTGCAAACTTGCTTCATATTACAGTTCCCAAAGCCTCAACCAATGGGTTTATTATTTTAATTTCTTGAAAACCATAAGAAACATGAAATAAATCAAAACTCACTGGCTCATTGACGCGTTTGCAAAAGATTGCAAGCATGAAGACGGCTGCAACAGGAGGAGTGAGATAGCTGGTGATTGACTGGATGTAGTCAAAGAGCTGACCGCTCTGAGCTGACTGCACTATGGGGATCCACGCTATGCTCACACCAATCAGGGCCAAGATGAACACTCTGCACAGTTGAAACAGACATTCATGGATGATAGAGTTCAGATAATTAAAAGAGTACTTGTAAAAGACACAAGCTGAATTGTGTTTTACCTGCCAGCAATCATGAGCTCCCTCTCTTTGGCGTAGGGACGGATCTTAGTGTAGATATCCATGGTGAAGAGCGTACTAGCACTGTTAAAAATTGAGGTAAGTGAGCTCATTAAAGAAGCCAACATCACAGACAGCATCAGACCTCTCAAACCTAAAACAAAGAATAAGAGTTAGAGGAGAAAGGAAACAAAGCAAACACAAAAATGCTAGATCTTTGTTTGATATTATACTTTGTAGATAATATGTCTAATTCACTCACCGTTGGGCATCAGATCCACTACCAGCTTGGGATAAGCAATGTTGGTGCATCCTACACTTGCGTCACAGTGTTTTTCACATTCATTAGGGTCCACACAGGCCACCACATCTGAGTTAAAATAACAAATGGTGATATAAAGTAAGTTACACGGGTACCTTAACAAATACAATTAAAAGTAAAAGTTTAAAAGCACACACACCGGGATAGAGGATCCTGCTGATCATCCCAGGAAAAACCATGAGAAACATGGGCAACAGCTTCAGGTAGCCACATAAAATACAACCTCCTTTAACATGAGAGAGATTCTTGGCAGAAAGGCAACGCTGGACAATCACCTTCAGAAAAAATAACACGTAATGGTGTAAGTTTTGCATACTATTGATGCTAAAACATTTACTTAAGTAGGAGACTAAAAATGTTGCTGCTACTGTAAAACAGTGTATTCTTGTATCTGTACAATTTTTTGATACAATAAATTTTTGATTTATAAACCTGCATGAAATAGTGTGAAATTCTCCAACAAAGTTCAGGGAGGTCATCTGAACGGTTTCATTTTTTTTTTTTTAGATGTTTTATCCTTCATCCAAAGGACTTCATCAGTTCTAAGAGCCACAAACAAACTGAGTCTCACAAGCAGCACCCCAACATAGTGGACCAACCAGTTTTTCTGGTGATAAGATGGTGTCTGGGGCCAGCCCTCTCCCCCAATCGACTCCTCTGAGGCAGCCATAACCAAAACCAGTGCTTGTGGGACTCTATTTGTTTGTGAATTATTGGACTGATGAAGTCCTTTGGATGAAGGCCGAAATGTCTCCAAAAAAAAAGTCCAGATGACCTGACTGAACTTTGTTGAATTTTCTACCTGGATTATTGAGCATAAACTTTGATATTGTGAAATTATATTGCTATGAATTGGCATATTATGTATTAATTGCTACTAATGTTAAATTGGTACAGTCTTCTTCTTCCGGCTTTTCCTTCTTCAGGGGTCGCCACAGCAAGTCATCCTCCTCCACCTCACTCTGTCCTCTGCATCCTCTGTCCTCACTCCAACTACCTCCATGTCCTCTCTAACTGCATCCATATCTCCTCTTTGGCCTTCTTCTTTGTCCTTTTCCTGGCAGCTGCATTTCTAACATCCTTCTACCAATATACCCATGGTCCCTCCCCTTGACATGCACACCAAACCTACCCATCACTTCCTCATCCCCTCTGTTTCCTTCAGTACTACACATATCTCTCTTTAAACGGAGATACATGTACTGCGTAGTCAGTGTTTCAGTTTGGAGAATCAGAGAAAATTATTGTGAAAAATTCAAGCTAATCTCTAATGTTATTCAGGAATTGCATCTGTTTTGTAAATGGACATGAATGAACCTCTAAATGTGTTCCAGTGTGGATGATCTTTAGTTCAAATGACTAAAAGCAGAGACCTCGTCTTTATCCACAGTCACCTCTTCTAGCTCTGTGAGAATTTCAAGTCATTCACAGGCCAAGCTGAGATACATAGTTTTTCCAACGTGTCCTGGGTTTTCCCTAGGGTCTCCTCCCAGTTGGCCATGCCAGGAACACCTCTATAGGGAGGCATCCAGGGTGCATCCTTACTAGATGCTGAAGCCACCCCAACTGATACCTCTCAGTGTGGAGGAGCAGCGGCTCTACTCCGAGTCTCTTTCAGATAAATGAACTTCAAAGTGAGTCCAGCTACCTCTTGGATAAAACTCATTTCGACCAGCTGTATTCACATTCTCATTCTTTTGTTCACTATCCAGAGTTCTTGACCGTAGGTTAGTGTAGGAATGTAGGACGGCTGGATTACAGAGAGCCCCACCTTGCAGCACAGAGTACACAATGCTGAGGAAGCTGCATTGATCTGTCTTTCGATTTCACACTCCATTCATCCCTCACTGGCAAACTAAACCAAATGAGCCATCTTCTGACCAACCATTAGTTTGACTCTCCTTCTCGAAACTGAGACTGTTCTGATTTCTGTGTACTGGTGTTAAAACAGTTACTTGATAGGAGATACAAATGATCACTTCACTTTATAACATCTATTGAATATTATATTCCCTGTGATGTACTTGCGACCTGTCCAGGGTGTACCCCGCCCTTCGCACAGTGATTGCTGGACATGGGCACCGGAGACCCCCGTGACCCAAAAATGGAAGAAAAGAAAAGATGATGGATGGATGGATGAATATTATATACTGTATATATCATAACCAATGAAAAACAAAATGCCAATACTTGTGAAATGGACTAAAACTGTTAAAGTGACTAAATTAACATCAAGGCAACAATTCAATCATAAAACCACTAGAATTTGGGTAAAAAATGAATAGGAGAACTGTGATTCTAATTTAAAAATTAACTCCACAAGGTTATTATATGTCATTGCTCTCCACTATCAGTGGGCAATATTAAATCGCCTCACTGAGTCCAACCAAAACAGGCAAGATGAAAGAACATGAATGCATATGGTTCTATAAAAAAATCAATCGGGTGAGTTTACAACCAGATATTGTTCCTGTAAAGTGGTAAATGCTGCAGTAGTGTTTGTAAAAGTACAGTGTCCTCACAGCCAGAAAAACATCTTGCTTTACTGACCTGATCTGTGCACCAGTACCAGGTGGCCTGAATGGTAAGTCCAAACACCAAACCAGGCCACGGTAGGTCCCCTGTGATCGGATCCCTAAAAATATGGAAGGAATCTGCCCGAGGTTCGTAGCACTCTGGGTTGGCACCACTCGTGATCGTCGGGACTGCGGTCATGTAGCTCTTCTGAAAGTTATCATAGCCCCCAACTTCAGTGAAAGCTGAAGATGGGTTCAGGTTAGACTAATTTGCACTTTCTCTCTTCAGTAATGTGAACTGATTACAAAGATAATGTAACATTACCAAAGCCCATGAGAATAAAGGATCCAACAATCATGATGATGGTCTGTAAGGTGTCTGTGTAAATCACTGCAGCCAATCCACCTGAGACACATGACATGAACAACGTTTACATACAGTACTTCATTCAGAGTCATTGGTAGTAATGTGTCCACTGGAAAAAAACAAGGCACCATGCTTTTATGTAACAGCTTGTCTTGTAAAAATAACATTTAGGTGTAGGTGCATTATGGCAGACCAGCAACAGAGGGCCATTTAAAGCTTATCATAATCCATGGATAATTAACCACAATAATACACCACAGATAAACTAAGACAGGGGTTGTATGTGTGTCTACATCTCTACAGTCCATTCGGCCTTGAGAAGACTTTACCCTGTCATGGTGCCACTTACGCAGATAAGGCTTCTTTCTGGCTTTAGTTTACGAGTGAAATGCAGCTCTCTGAAAAGGGAAGTGACATACCTGTGACAGTGTACAAGGCTGTAATCGCCAGCAGCGCGATAACAGCAAGGTAGATATTAAGTCCAAGAGCCTGGTTGATAAAAATGGCACCGGAGAACATGTCTGCCTGGGAGGAGATGGAAAACCCAAATCAGTCACATTCACAGCTGGAGCAGGGAAGTTTTGTGCAACAGTCACATGAACTTACAGAGATCTTGGTGAAGACGTAGAGACAGAGGGAGAGCACGGAGAGATAGATGCGAATGCGCTGTCCTCCAAATCTTTTCTTCAAGTACTCCGGCATGGTCACCACCTAAACAAATCCACTTTAGCTTTTATCATTGCTAAAAATGTGGTAAAGGATGCACATACACTTATCAGCCATTTTATTGGGCACACTTTGCTAGTGGGGTTGGCTTAATCCTAATTCTTTGTGGCACTGATTCAGCAAGGCTTTGAAAATATTCCTCAGAGATTTTGGTCCATATTGACGTGATGGCATCCAGTTGCTGCACATCAATGATGTGAATCTCTGTTCCACCACATCCCAAAAGGATGGATCTGGATTTGGTGACCATGAAGTCCACTAGAGTTCAGTAAATTAAGACTCATCAGGTCAATGTAGTTTTGTTGTGGGTGAACTGTAGCATCAGTTTCCTGTTCTTAGCTGACAGGAGGGGTCAGTGTAGTCTTCGTTTGCTATAGCTCACATGTTTCCTACACACCTTGGTTATTCTGAGCTACTTTTGCCTTTCTATCATCTCAAATTAGTTTGCTCATTCTCCTTTGACCCTAAACATCAACAAAGGATTTTACTGCATTTGCTCACGGGACAGCAGCACGGTGGCGCAACTGGTAGAGCTGCTGCCTCTCAGCGAGCAGGTCCTTGGTTCAAACCCCGGTCCAGGGGCCTTTCTGGGTGGAGTTTGCATGTTCTCTCCGTGCATGCGTGGGTTTTCTCCGGGTGCTCCAGTTTCCTCCCACAGACCAAAAACATGCATGTTAGACTGATTGGTAACTCTAAATTGTCCCTAGGTGTGAGTGAGAGAGTGAATGGTTGTTTGTCTTGTTTGTCTCTATGTGGCCCTGTGATGGACTTGCGACCCGTCCAGGGTGTACCCCGCCCCTCGCACTGTGATTGCTGGACATGGGCACCGGCGACCCCCGTGACCCAAAATGGAATAAGCAGGTAAAGCTAATGGATGGATGGATGGATGGATGTTCACTGGACACTTTCTCTTTTTCAGACCGTTTTCTGAAAATCCTAGCATTTACATACCCAGACAAACACCCATACTTAATCAGTCACTTAGATCCAGTTTCTTCTTTACTCTGATGCTCAGTTTGAGCTCAAGCAAGTCATCTTCATCATATCTAGTTGCCTAAATGCACCGAGTTGTCACCACGTGATTGGCTGGTTAGCTGTTTGTGCAAGAAGCCATTGAACATTTGGACCTAGTAAAGTGCTCAGAGAGTGTATAAGTATGTTATATATGTGATCTGTGTGTCTTGTTTACCCCAGCTTTGATGTAAATTGGCACAAAAAGCCATCCCAGGATGACGACAACAATCAAAGCCTGCACACAAAAATACAAAGACAAGTGTCATATAATTATAAGGAGTGCTTAAAGGTAAAAATGTTTTGCACTGAGTTGCCTGTTTCCTACTTCTGCAAGCCAAAATTCAGCCGAGTTGATACTCAGCTGACAGCGGTAACACGCACCCTTGTGACAGTGGCGTAAACAGGGTTACTCACATTCCACTCAAATCCTCCAATTGCTAAACCAGCTGCTGCTGCGGTGCCGGCAATCCCAACAAAGTGGCCGCTGCCAATGTTGCTCGCAAAGAGTGATGCTCCGATCTGCAAAGGACGAAATGCAAAAGAAGAAAAACTCGGAACACCTCACGACTTAGTAGCTTATAAAAAGATCTATTCCTCACATTTTGGAGACATTTAAAGCCAAACATCTCTAATTTGGTCTAATGTATGAGAAGGAGTTAGCTCCAGACGTTTTGTGGCTTGTCCTGATGCACATTTGCGAACTTAAGTCATGCTGCCATATTCTGTTTAAGGTAAAAAGCCTTTTATCTTAAAACATCTCTCTTAAATATGAGAATTTCTGTAATTTGCCTAATTTTAGTTAAATAAATGAAGATATAATATATGTTGAGTTGTGGTTCATTTGCAGACTTAACAATGTGGCCTAAAAGTTGGTACAATTTCCAGGACTGTAATTATTGTTGTTGCTTTACTGTCAGAAAGTTACTCTTTAATTAAAAAACACAAAAAGTGTAACTTTATTTTCTTATCCTGATGGTAACATACCCACCGGCCACCACACCATACTCCTCCCTGCGAGGAAGAAGCCACCCACAGTGGCCCTGTTGGTGCGAACCATGGCCTGCAACGAGACACGAGAACATAAGACGTGCATAAATTTGTGCAAAACATCAATTTCTACTTCAAGTATATGATTATTGTTTGCATTGTGATACATTTCATTTTAATATAATTGGCGTGGACACAAAATCACTGCACAAATTCAAGAATGGTTTTACTTTTGTATTTGACATTGCTTTTATTTTTGCATAACAGTACATTTACAGTATTTAAACAGCACCATAAATACAAATCTCATAATTTAATTGTGATCAAATACATCTGGAGCATGTTTTGGATTGATTTTAAACAAAGTAAATCATTTTGGAGCTGTGAAACTGTTATTGACAAACAGGAAAGCTTTTGAAAGATGATAACTCACCCATACTCCCACAGCCAAGACGACCAAAAAGTAAATCACAATAACAGAGATATCTGCTGGATTGTTGAGCGCTGAGTAGCTCGTGCCATTTCTTGTTTGTCTTCTGATGTAGGAAAACCCAAAATAATCCCGAGACATTTTTGCAGGTGGGTGGGAGGGGGGAGAGCGGAGGACAGGGGTGCTGCTGGAGTTGGTCCACTTCGACTAAACCATCAACACCTCGCTTACCTTTATACACTGCCGTTTCTGTGTGCGAGAGATAGAAAGAGGGCGGGCCAGATGTGTATGTCATGCATAAATAACCTGTTGTAGATAGACATATGTCTTATGAACATTAGAGTAATTGTGTAAACTTTATGTAAATACTTTCAAAAATTAACCTATGAGGAAACTCAATAAGTAAAACAACTGTTGTTCCATTAATCATTGTGTGTTTTAGTTTGTTTCGTGTGTTTTTTTACTCACTCAGTGTTCACAGCTCTGGTAAATGCAGCAGCATTGAAGTTGAACCATGAAACCTCCTCATAGAATATAAACATGAAATATGTATTAACTTGTGGTTATAATCTTCAATCTTGTGCCAAAGTGTTTTAAAAAGAAGAAGATGAAAATGAATAAATAGAAAAAGGTTTTAAATTTAGCTCTTTATAGACATGACATGTCCCATTAACAGGTATTTGATGCAATACTAAATACAAGAAGGGGAATTTTACTCCACGTGTTTTAAAACGATATTGTTTGGACTTTATGCTATTCTAAAAAATATATAATCCACATATTCAAAATTAACACAAAGTACAGAAAATAAAGAGTGTCAGATTAAAATCCCAGCTGTTGGGAGTCTTATGATGTTATAACCAATAATTTGCAATTTGTGACTCCTCTAAGTGTTTGTGATCACCACCTCTTTGTTCTTTTTTATCTTCACCTCATTTTAATGTTTTTCTTCCACGGTAACTGTGGAGCACAAATATAATGTGACAACCCTGGACTGTAAATCACACTGCGTGCAAACCTTTTCTTTTTTATCTTGTGAGGAAATTAGGTAAACCCAATATTTATATTCTAGGAAGCAATGTCTTGGACTTAAATGTCACAAAAGGAAGCTACAGATAAAACTTACGACACTCGTTAAAGATTACCATAATTATAGATAAGTGTAAATTACTTCTATAAGCTTTGCCATCCTCATTTGCTCTAATATTAAACAAGTTTATGTGATAAACTGAATTATATTTTTGTTTTTATAAAAACGATGCACACTCATGACATTCACTCATAAAGTTCTTATGAAAAAGATTACAGTATATCTTGTAATCTAAACAAGATATGCTTAAAAAGTATAGGGCTTGTTTCTTTGGAAGTGTGACAAAAATAAAAAGCACTTAACCTCACCTTCACCCTCTTACAATGAACATTGTATGTTCTCGAAAATCACGTGGTTTTATCTGTTTGTTAATGATTAGCTTTAGGACCGATTCGTGAAGGAGGGCGGCGACCAAAAATAATAACAAAAAGACAATATTTTTTAGTTTTTGGTTCATTCACATCATAATCCCAGCTGGAGTTGCAGAAAATGAATTGTATTCAGGACAAAAGTAGTGTACTTTGGCAAATAATGCAACAAAAAGCAAAGTTTGCCACTTCCTGAGCATTTTTACAAGTATATATCAGTATGACAATAATAATACTATAGAAAAAGCTTTATATTTGTGTTGTATTTGTTTTTTTTTATATATCTATAAATATATGCAGGGCTACACATTGAGTGAGAGCAGTACAAGCAGCAGCCAGCATGTGTCTCTGCAGGACCATAAAATCAGTGTTAAAGAACCACAGTTTCCACATCTAAACAAAGGAGGTGATAATCTTAATTTAAGGTTGATTCCCAGTTCATTCAAATCTCCTCATCTGTGTTTCCTGCTCAGGCTGACACCATTTCATTATGATTGGGGCAGAACAAAAACTGACGTCTCATACTGTAATTATTTTCTTATAGAGTCAGGCAGTGGTTCCCAAACTTTCAGCTTCTGAACTATAAAATAACGGTGACAAAACACATGAAATAAACTGGTTCAAGCAGAGAAACATAAAGCGGTTAAATCAAGGTTTAGGACATTACACCTTTAACCTTCTTACATTTGGGTGCTGTGGCCTTAAAAATAACCAAAGATCCACAGTGAAAAGATTTGTTCTGATGGAGAACTTTTGAAAGGTTTTGAAGAATTTTACCAACGTTTTAAAGTAGATGGCGTGATTTTTTTCTTTTTCTTTTTCCGTGCTGTATTTAGTTTTTGTTGTGGGATGTGAAGAAAAAAATAAAGTTTTCTGAAGCTTTCACTTGTCACCATAAATTTCCACGTTTGCTTTTAACATCTGTTAACAAAGTAAATGCAGTTTGTTTGACAAATCACTATCAGAGGTTTTTTAGCATAGCTTACTGCACCACTTGTGCGTTTTGTTGATCCATGCAAAAGTGACAGATATGAACATGTAAGTTTGATTTTCAGCCTCTTACTTTGAATGAAAATTAATGAAATATTTTATTTAAAATAAAATAAAAACTCTATGGAACCTAATATATTATGGTTTTCTTTGTGGATGGCTAAATGTACTTTAAAAAATCTTAACCCCATGTTCACAAATTTGAATACAAATTTAATAATAACTAAAACTATCTTATCCATACATATACATGCATCTTATTTTGACATGCTGACTTTGTGTGTGTGTGTGTGGCCAGTAAAAAGTAATCATTAACACTTGTTTAAAATCCACCCAACAGCTGGATTACCTACATTTGTTGTTGCAAAATCCAAAGCTTCAGGCTTGAACCTTTGGAACTGAACTCACAACTAAAGCAGAGTTTATTTCATTCACACTTACAAAATAAGAGAATGTAGTGTGCATCTCTAAAATGTGTTCAACACAACTTAAAATAAAGAATAATTACAACTTAAGTCCTATATTTAAATAATAAATAATAATAAAATGTTTTCTTTTTGCAATTTCCTGGACACACTGTTTAAAGTGTGACTGTTTTAGCTGGAAAATATAACATACAAAGCTGTAATTCTATTTTATTTTTATTTCAAGGTAGATAAAATGTTTTTTTTAACCAGTCTATTAGATTATTATTTTAAAGAAAACAAATTATGATTCACTTGAGAAGGCTGTTGCTTTATTTTAGAGCAAAGCATCATGTAAGGTGCTTAAAAAGGTGCTTCTAATATTTCTTTAGATTTTTTTTATGTTAAGCCGCTTATAATTTTGTCACTTATTTGATCATCACCTGTTGTTAGTGTCTGTGCATGTGTTCATCTGTCTGTTAGTAAAATATCTCATGAACCACTGCATGGATTTGCATGAAACATTTTGGAAAGTAATTATTAGATGTACGTCTACAGCTGATTACCTTTGGAAGTTAAATCGATTAGAGATGGCTGCCACAGCTAATCAGTTTTTGGAAACTAATAAATGGCTAATACCCAGTCAGATTTACAGATATTGAGCTAAAATCTTGTGTGGTAGTAGATCAGAGTCATCCCCAACACATACTTGAAGCGCTAACAGAAGGCATGAGATTTTAGTATAAAACTAGCATGCAAGACAATGGGTAACATGCTTTTTTATTTTATTTATTTATTTATTTTATTTAAAAAAGTGAGTTTTTCATCTAGTTTGTTTTTGAAGTGCTGTAATGCCTTTTGTGCTCATCTTCTCTATGAAGAGTGTTTTACAAATAAGGTTTAAATGATGGATAATCTAATGAGATAGCAGTAGGTTAAAGTTAGTGAAAGCTAACTGTTAGCGCCTGGCTGACTCAAGCTAATTTATCCACTTTTTACAGTGAACTGTTTGCAGATTTGTTGTTTACCACAATCAGATTAGGTCAGAGAAGAATTCTGTAAAAAATAAAAAATGCTCAACTACTTCAGGCTGACAGTTGCAAATAAAAAATTAAAATAAAAGTCTTCTACCAATGAATAAATTTCATTCAGGACCCAGATGGAAAATTTCTTAAAATCTATCAATAATGTATGTTGAATTAAACAAAAAAGTAAATGTACTGTGAAAGGCCAACTCTGAACCATATAATACAAAATCTGAAAGTCTTGTCAGAAATGAAATCAGGACCCATGCATGTCTGCAGTTTCTCATTCACATTTATTTAATAAAATTACAACTATAGTCCTATAAATAAGTGCATTGTGATGAATTAAACTTATGGACCTCTGCAGAAATTAAATAATGTGCAGTGCCTGTAATCAGATCAGAATTTTATTCCTTTTTATGCAAGATTGTGACAAATACCCAGTTTATTTAATTTTATTCAGGCAGCTAGTGAAAGTGCTTCAGGGTGATCAGCTGCAGCTTGCACATAAAGCCTGCAGGCAGCAGCCATTACAGGGAAAGAACCCCCTGAATGTCATAACCACAAAGCCCTGATTCTCTTATCACACGGAGCTTCGTGTGAGCAACTGTGGGAGCTGTTACCCAGCATCTGGCATCTAATGCTTTCCTTCAAACCCCCTGATCACATCCTCACATCCACTCCCTCATCATCTGGTTACTGGGAGTTTTGTCTGGCAAACCCCTATCTGTGTTTTACAGCTTTCACTGTTGTGATCCAGATGTGATCTGCACCCAAACAAAAACATAAATAGAGAAGAAATAAATTTAAAAAATGCCATTAAGGTAATAAACTTCCATTTTTTGCAACAATTTTGACCAAATTGAAATGTGTAACATGTAAAATTAAAACAGAATGCAATGATTTGAAAATCTCATAAACCCATTTTTACAATGGAAAAAAAAAAGCATTTCAAATAATGAAACTAAGAAATGGTTAGATTTTTAGGCAACAGAGAATTGTGAAATTAATGGCAGCAACACATGTCTAAAAAGTTGGACAGGGTCAACGGTTACACTGTGAAGCGCTCTCTCTTCCTTTAATTACAATCTGTAAACATCTCAGAGGTGAGCTGCTGGAGTTTTTCAAGGGAATGCTGTCTCATGCTGTCGATGTAGGATTGTAGCTGTTCAACAGTCCTCGGTCTTATTTGCTAGATTTTTTTCTTTCATAACGCATCAAATGTTTTCATTTGGTGAGACTGGACAGCAGGCAGGCCGGTTCAGCTTCTGGATCATTCTATTATGAAGTCATGCTGTCGTTTGTCTTGTTGAAATATGCAAGGCCTCCCCTGAAAAGG